AAGAGCCTTGAATATGGCACTTTTTAAAAAAATCTCAGGTATAGGACAAAGGAGATGTTATTGCAGCCTGCTCGAGGCAATCGACGAACAACTGGATGGTCGTGATCGTGATCGTGATCGAACTACTGTGCTGTGTTATTTTTCTTATGACTTAGTTCTCTTTTCTCTAACTTATTTTGTTGTAAGAATGCAGACAATACACAAGGAAAAATAAGTGTTTTGTGGCAACTTGGACAGACCTGAAGGTATCGTGCAATACAATTTAGGGCAGACAGACAAATGCGGGACGATCTCACTCATCTGCAGAGAAACAAAGCAAGGGCATGGACAACAGCGATCAGCAAGGAGCCTTGGCTGGGTGCCGGAGCACAGACCTGAGAGTACAGGTTTGGGGGCGGGGAACCAATAGGCTGGAAGTAATGGGAGCACAGGTGCCAGTCTCGGGCCCAGGGCTGGCGCTGAGAGAGGTAACAGGCCTGTCCATCACGTGGGGGGGATGGAGGACAGGCAGGAGGGTCGGACCAGAGGTGACACAGGAGCAGGGGTGCAGGGACATGGACATTTCGGTGTCAATGGTGGGCAGTCAGTTTATACATCAACACCATAAACGTGAACACCCTTGGAGCAATCCTAGTCCCTAAATTATAATAAAAAATAAAACAAAACATGGGGCCGGAGCGATAGTACGGTGGGTAGGGCGTTTGTCTTGCACACGGCCGACCTGGGTTCAATCCCTAAGCATCACCAGAAGTAATTCCTGAGTGCAGAGCCAGAAGTAACCCCTGAGCATCACTGGGTGTGACCCAAAAAGAAAAAAAATTAAATAAATAAAAAAGTAAAACAAAATACAAAAATATCTTGCAAACCCTGCCCCCCATCAGACTATAATGCATATAACACACGAAATATGTTAACTGTTCGTATTATGCATACGGCTTCTGGGCAACAGCATGCTTTACTTAAGTTTGGGTGGACCAAAAGTCATGCTGAGGGGGCCAGGGATGTAGCTCAGTGGTCATTCCTGTGTCTGACCCTGGGTCTGCCTAACACAAGTCAGTCAGTGGATTCCCCACTCACACACTGCCCACAGCTGGACTGTGTATCTTGGAGGTTTTTAGTTTGGGGGCCACACCCAGCAGTGCTCACGGGTCAGCCCCAGTGGTGTTCAGCAAAGATGTGGTACCGTGGATGGGACCCAGGTTCTCAAACATGCCAAGGAAGGTCTACCACTGAGCCCCCCTCACCCCCACATCTGGGGAGGGGCACACCTGATGGTGTTTAAGGGCTACTCCTGGCCCCATACTCTCAGGCCATTTCCAGAGATGCTCAGGGATGGACACCCTCCCTCTCCTGCCGCCACACACGCATGACCTGCACTCGGCCTGGAGCCATTCCCCAGTCCATCTATTTTTATGTATTTTTGGTTTTAAAGACAAGAAAACTGGCGGGAGCTCAGGGTTTACTCCTGGAGGGGCTTGGGGGACCATATGGGGTGCCAGGCAAGCACCCGCCTCACTGTACACTGCTCTAACCCCTCAGTCTATGCATCGGGCCATCAGTTGACTTAGTATTATCATGCCTGACTCCTCCCAAGTTTTATCCAGGTGACTAGCCACGTTCCTAGGAGTCTGGCAAAACTGCCTCTCTCTCTCTCGGGTGTATGGCCATACCTGGTGGTGCTCAGGGCTACCACTCCTGCCTTTGGGCTCAGAGATCATTCCTGGTGGTGGCCGGGGACTGTTTAGGGTGCTGGGGATCGAATCCAGTTCACTGTGTGCCAAGACTAGCTCCTTGCCCGCTGGGCTGTCTCTGGCCACACCTGGCCATGCTGAGGGGCAGACTGCGCTCAGATGACCATGTGAGGTTGGCCTGACCAGGGCCTCCCGCACGCAGGGTGAGCTCACCTGTCCTCTGCGCACCCAGACCACAGCCATCCCTCTGGTTTCAAGCTACTCAGCACCATCACTAGAAGATGGCTCGGCTCACTCTTCACGCCTGGGTCCTCCTTTAATGAAACGCATCTCCCCTGCTTGGTGCTGCCTCTTTGCTTGGGTTTTTTCCACTCTGGGGGAAGCCTGTGAAAACACATCCCTTCCTTCTCTTTCTCGCCCCTCACATCTTTTTGTTTCGTTTCTTTGGTGAGGGATGGATTTTTTTTTTTTTTTTTAAATTGAATTCCCGTGAGATAGACTCTTACAAAGCTGTTCAAGATCGGGTTTCAGCCATACAATGTTCCCACACCCACCCCTCCGCCAACATTCATTTTCCACCACCAATGTCCCGTTTCCTTCCTATTCTCCTTTCTCCCCTCCACAGCCTGCCTCTATGACAGGCCTTTTTCCTTCTTTCTCCCTCTCCTTTTGTGCATACCTGTTTGCAATGCAGGTATGAAGATGTCATGGTATTTTTTTTTTTGGGGAGTTCAGTATTTTTCTCGGGAAGGTACAGCTGGAGCTTATTTAACTGGGTGGCTGCCAGGGCTTCCGGAATACAGGGACGAGAGAGAGAGAGAGAGAGAGAGAGAGAGAGAGAGAGAGAGAGAGACAGAGAGACAGAGAGAGAGAGAGAGACAGAGAGAGAGAGACAGAGAGAGAGAGACAGAGAGAGAGAGAGACAGAGAGAGAGAGACAGAGAGAGAGAGAGACAGAGAGAGAGAGAGACAGAGAGAGAGACAGAGAGAGAGAGAGCGTGAGCGAGCAGTGGCGCGGAAACAAAGGTCACACACGGACAGCCGTCATCTGGATTTACTTCTGAAGACCCTCATAAACACCTTTCTCTTTTACCCCACAACGCAGTGACTCACGAAAGCAACACCTATTGCACAGAAGAAACTTGCAGCATTGAGAAGAGCACCATATTGCAATTCTGGCTCTGGAGAGAAATTAAGCTTCCTGGCACGGAATTTCTGTCCAAACAGAAAGTTCAAAGAGCTCGCCTCGCTTTCCACCGCAGAAAGGGGCACCTCTAGTACGGGCCTTGGGAAAACAACTCAGAGAAGAAAAGCCCGGAGAAACAGTCACGGGGAAAATGGGATCTGGTGCCACCTGCTGGCGAGGCTGCGGTACTGCGTTTCCCTTGGGAAACGCGCGTGTTCTAGAGCACCGCTGCCTGGACTGGAGAAAAATCACACAAATAAGGTTATTATTATTATTTTTTCATTTCAGCTGCATGCAACCATCTCCAGTTATGTGTACAACCAAGGCCTGAAAGTAACGTGCAAAAATGCAAACAAGTGCAGTGTTAGGACTGAGGAGAGGTGTTTCTTTAAATATCACCTTATTTTTCTTTTCTCTTGGGGGGGGGTGCAAGGGTCGGGCCACCTCTGGCAGTGCTCAAGGCTCACTCCTGGCTCTGTGCTCAGGGTCACCCCTCACGGTGCCGGGCCGGGCCGCATGCAAGGCCTTAATGGGTGGTCCTCTCCAACCCTCCCACCCCCAGCCCCTGGTGGAGCCGGCCCAGAGGCTCAGGATGACCGTTCAGTGCTCAGGGGCCCGAGCTAGCCCTGGCAGTGCTGTAGGGTCTGTGGGGCTGGGGTTGGGCACATGCGCGATGCTCTGAGTCTTTCCCTAGGTTGCCATCTGACCTCTTTGTGGGGGGCTGCTTGGAACTGATTTCTTAGGTAAGAGAAAGCAGTGAAGACACAGGTGCGGTGCACATGGACCCAAGGGAGAACACCACTCCACGCTAACTTTCAGAGCAGAGGGGAAAAAAAAGCCCAAACACATCCGGGTTATCGAGAAAAACGTCTGTTGAACGTAAGTGACTGCTACTGAACACAAGGGCTGCTAAGAGGGGGCCTGAGTTATAGTACATGGGTAGGGTGTCTGCCTTGCATGTGGCTGACCTGTTTCCAACCCCTGGCTTCCCACAGGGTCCCCTGAGCCTCATGAGGACTAATTCCTGGGGGCAGAGCCAGGAATAACCCCTGAGCATCGCCAGTGTGGCCCCCAAAACAAAAACAAACAACAAAAAAATGAGTGGCCTTGAACAAATGAAAAGTTGCATGCCTGAGAGAGACGTGGGCAGGTGGGCCCGTTACTCAGAGACGGAGGGAAGCAGTTAGTCCCTGGGTGTTCCTGGCAGCTCGGAACCAAAGACCGTGCTCTCGGCCCTGCTCTGAGTCACAAAGCTGGTTAACTGCAAGAGAAGTGACCAGACTGCCAGTCATGGTGGTGGGCGCCCACAATGGCCGCTGGAAACCACTTACTTGAATACCCCTGGGAACAGGGATGTGCTTCAGTGGCAAAGCACATCAAGGGGGCCCCCGGGGTTTTGGATGCAAACACCAACACACACACACACACACACACACACACACACACACACACACACACACACACACACCCTCCCCTCCAGCTTTTCTCCTTAGTCAAGGAAAGTCATGATTTGGTTGAACTTGTTCCAACACACCCTCCTGGTCTCAGTAAGGGGCAGCAGGAAGGCAGAGCCAAGGCCGTGACCACCCCCCCTCCCGGTCTCCCATTGTGTTCTTAGGGACGGCCAGGTTCGCTGAGGTTTTCAGTTGCAGCTTTTGAGAATGAATTCCTTTCCCTCAGCAAGGCCGGGGCGCTCTGAGTCTGAGGAGTGCGCCCCAGACACGCTTGTCCCTCCGGCCCGACATGCCTCTGAGGGCAGGTGCGGCTTGCTGTACCCTGCGTTACCACGGGCACAGCCGTAATAGAAGTGCTTAATAGACGGCGTGACTGGGTACCTGCAGGACAAGCGGATGGACCTCAAGTGGTCCAACAGATCTAGGGGTAAAGGAGAAACGCGAGGGGTGAGGGGGAGACAGCTCCGTCATGGTGGAGAGAATAGTGACGAAGTAGCAGGGAGAGGACCGGCAATGAGGAGGCGACGGGCCGCAGGAATAGCCACTACTCATCTGGTGACCCCGGAGAGCTGCATTCCCTGAGGGGCTCAAAATGGAAGCACGGATGAGAACCAAGAGTTCTCTGGAAGACTTGTGGATGAGTAAGTCTGCCGAAACCCTGCAGGCAGAAGGCGGCCGCGGGCCTGCTTTAAGGTGTGGAAGAGTCCTCAGAGTAGGTCAGGTGGATGTCCAGCGTCCCGTACAGGGAGCGCAGAGCGCTCAGGACTTTTTCTTGGATGGCGTCCACTTGCTCACAAGGACAGTAATCGTCCAGACTGGACCTGCAGCGAAGGAGAGAAAAAGGAAGAAAAAGATGCATCACACTGGATGTGGAGGAACTTGCTGAGAAAAACCAAAACCCACACAGAAATCAAACTGGTCTGTGGGATGTCACCGCGGAATAGAAAGATATAGGGCGGGTTGGACTCTCAGGACACTAGTGATAGCTACTGACTGTCAGAGAGGACACAGCATTGTCAGGCATCTGCCTTACACAAGGCAGACCTGGGTTCGAGTCCCGGCACTCTGTATGTGTGCAAGCATAGCAACCCGATGTGCCACGGGTGACCCCCACAACTCTGGTGGGAGCTTCACACCAGAGTGAAGCTGGTCACTGAAACAGGAGGGAAGGGGGGATCGATGAGGGAAGGGAGTGGGGAAAGAAAGGAGAAATGAAATACGCGCCCTCTCGTCCCCCATACTATTCCAGTGTTGATAGAGAGGGGGAACACCTGGTGATGCTCAGGGGTTGCTCCTAGCTCTGTGCTCAGGAATCACTCCGGGTGGTGCTCAGGGTCTGTACATGGTGCTGTGGATCAAACCCAATCAGCTCCAGGCCAAGACAAAAATGTCTTTCCCTGGCAGTACCTCTCTGGTCTTGAAAAATCCTTATATCACAGAGGGCTGTTACCTCTTTGACAGATGCTGGAGTTAGTGGGCTTAAAACAAAGTGATTTATTTAGGGTGGAGGGTTGTACCACCCTGGGCAGTGCTTAAGGGCTACTCCCGGATTAGCTCAAGGGCCAGCCCTGGGAGTGCTGCTCAGGGAACCCTAAGAGGTGCTGGCATCCGAACCAGGTCCCAGACAACGCGGCTCCTGGGAGGTAAGTGCCTCACTGCCTGGACGCTCTCCCCATCCCGAGCGGGCCATTATTCAGGCACTTACCGGGCAATTGTCACCAGAGTCGGCTTGGGTAAACTCCGCAGCAAACGATACATAGACTGAACCAGATGCTCAATTTCTTGCTCAGTGCTGATGTGGTGAGGCAGTTCTGAATAATCACAGGTTAGCCCGGCCTGGTGAACCTGGAAACAAGACAACTCACTGTAAAGTTTGATTGTTGTAGATGGCTCTTTTTTTGTTTGGGGGCCACACCTGGCTGTGCTCAGACTTACTCCTGGATCTAGGGTCAGGGAGGTGGTCCAGGGACCGTGTGTGATGCTGAGGATCACATGCAGGTGGGCCACATGCAAAGCAAGCGCCCTAGTTGCTGTGGTCTCTCTACACAGGTAAGGAAGGGTGATTCCTTACCCTTCAATCGTTTTGCTTTGAACATTTCTGTGGATTAAGACTCTTTCCAGGACACAGAAGTTATCTCTTTTCTGAATTCTTTTTTTTTGTGTGTGTGTGGGGGGGAACACCTGGTGATGCTCAGGGGTTACTCCTGGCTTGGCAGTTCAGGAATCACTCCCAGCCTTGCTCAGTGGACCAAACGGGATGCCAAGGGTGCAACCTGGGTAGCCGTGTGCAAGCTGTACTGTTGCTCCTGACCCCTCTTCTCTTAAATTTTGATAGAACCAGTCTGTACACCTGCTCACACGCTTTCTTTCCAAGAATAATTCTTCACTTCTTTTAACATATATATATTTTTTCTTTTTGGGTCATACCTGGCGATGCACAGGGGCCACTCCTGGCTCTGCACTCAGGAGTTACTCCTGGCGGTGCTCAGGGGACCATATGGGATGCTGGGAATAGAACCCGGGTTGGCTGCGTGCAAGGCAAATGCCCTACCCGCTGTGCTATCGCTCCAGTCCCTTAACATATTTCATGATTGTGGATTGATTCCATTTCTGTCCTTGAGTCGATCTGATATTTCAAATTTTTCTAACATTACTTTCCATTTCACCTAAATTCTAAAAAGAGATAAAAAGCTGTAAAAATATCTTTGTTCATCTTTTCTTTCCAAGTATTATTTTATTGTCAAAGATATCAACCCAGTACTACATTCGAGGTTTTAAGAAGACACAAGGAAACGTCTTCCTCTTGTCTTATTTAACCTACTATCATTTCTCAAGTATGCTGTATTTTTCTTTTTCTTTTTGGCCATAACCGGTGGTGCTTAGGACTTCATCCTAGTTTTCCCCTGCTCCAGCTCCTCTCACAATACCTAGCCTTTATATTTTTCTCTCTTTCTCACATACATATTTGTGCGTGTATATATATATATATATATTTTGCTTTTTGGATTACACCCGGTGATGCTCAGGGATTACTCCTGGCTCATGCACTCAGGAATTGCTCCTGGCGGTGCTCAGGGGGCCATATGGGGTGCTGGGAATCGAACCTGTGTCGGTCATGTTGGCTGTGTGCAAGGCAAATGCCCTACCTGCTGTGCTATCGCTCCAGCCCCTGTATATGTATATTTTTGTTTGTTTTGTCACACCTGGTGATGCACAGGGGTAACTCCTGGCTCTGCACTCAGGAATTACTCCTAGTGGTGCTTGGGGACCATGTGGGATGCTGGGGATCAAACTCAGGTCGGTCCTGTGTAAGACAAATGCCCCCCCCCCCCGTACTCGGGCTCTGGGCAGCCTTTAATATAATCACATATTACTGATATCTATTAATATGGCTTTGCTCTCCTCCCCCACTTTTTTTTTCTTTTTCATTTTGAATCACACCAAGTGGCATTACTTGGGGGATTGGTGGGGGACGACCATAGGTGCTGGGGGGTCAAGGCTGCATGTCCGACACACAAAGGCTTACACTTCAGCCTGCTGAGTGATCTCTCTGGCCCTGGAAACCCACCTTCTTCAAGGAACTACCTGAGGTGACTACTGCCCCCTGGACTGTTCCAGGCCCAGCGGCGGGGCGTAGAGAGGCAAGACACCCACTTTGGGCACACTGAACAAAAATGATCAGAACACTTCCTGGCTTCTAAATTCTTATTTTAAAGCATATATCTCCTTTCAAAAAAAAATAATGTTTTTCAGACGTCCCAGCAATAAAAGTCAGCTATTTTAATAAAAAAAATATTATGTATTTCTCCCCAGAAAAGGGGACATGCAGAGTCAGTCTCACACGCAGAAATAAAATATTCACCATTTCATAGTCTGGTACTTCCATCCGTTTTTTCAAACTCTGTACAAGTGGAACTAGTGATTCCATGCTGGAAAAAAACAAATCACCCTTCAATTAAATATTGTACCCTTTCAACTAAAATTATAGGGGCAAATGCTACAGTTCACTTAAAACCAGTTAACAGCATGATTTTTCTTTTGGTTTCTGGACCACACCCGGCAATGCTCTGGGGTTACTCCTGGTTCTACATTCAGAAATTACTCCTGGCAGTGCTCTGGGGACCATACAGGATGCCATGGATCAAATCTGTGTTGGCTGTGGGCAAGGCAAGCGCCCTACTTGCTGTATTATCCAGACTAGATGATTCCATGTGATCACCTTTCTTTCCTTCCTTTTCTTTTCCTTTCTTTCTTCTTGATTCTTGGGACACACCCTATCTTGGCCCTGTACTCTGGAATCACTCCTGGTGGGCTCAGGGGACTGAACGGAATCTGGAAATGGAACCTGGGTGAACTGCATACAAGGCTACGGCTGGACTATTTCTCTGGCCCTTTTCACTTTAAATTAAAAAAAAAAAATGGGGGTTACGCCCAGAGGTGTTCATAGCTTATTGCTGCCTCTATGCTCAGAGATCAATTTTGACGGTATGCTCAGGGGACCACACGTAATGCCAGGGATCAAACCTGGGTAGTCTGCTTACAAGACAAGCATTTTTTTTTTTTCTTTTCTTTTTGGATCACACCTGGTAATGCACAGGGTTTCACTCCTGGCTCATGCACTCAGGAATTACTCCTGGCAGTGCTCAGGGGACCATATGGGATGCTGGGAATTGAACCTGGGTCGGCTGTGTGCAAGGCAAACACCCTACCCGCTGTGCTATCGCTCCAGCCTCAAGAACAAGCGTCTTATCTCTGTACTATCTCTCTGGCCCAAGAGAATTATTCCTGCCATCTTTTTACAGGTAATGTTCATATTGGGAGAACAGGTAAACATCCAGGGGAAGTATGAAGTCATCGAATCATGCTCTCTCACGCCAGGGGAGGCTGGAAAATAAACTCTTTGTTCAGAGTGGGGCTATCTTCAAATGGATATGCTGGAACTTCCCTGTCAGGTAAATTATTTTTCTATAACTAGGGCAATCCTCTCCCCCATCTCCCCCTCAATTCAACATACAACAGGGACTATACTACTCATCTACTTTTTGGTTTTGTTTTTGGGCTACACCCGGTGATGCTCAGGGTTTACTCAAGGATCATTCCTGGCAGGCTCGGGAGACCATAGGGGATGTCTGACACCAAACCCAGGTCCACCAAGTGCAAAGGCAAGAGCCTTAGGGCCTGTAGTGTCTCTTCGGAACCGTTTACCACCCATCTTTTATTTATTTGATGAGGGTCACTAGGCAATGCTTAGGGGCTGCTCCTGGCTTTGAGCTCAGGATTCACCCTGGGCAGTACACAGAGGGGCCATACGGGATGCCGGGGATCACACCGGGGTCAGTTGCATGCAAGGCAAGTGCCTTTCCCGCTGGACCATCACTCCAGTGCCCTCCCACTCTTCTTCCATCTTCCGTAGGACTGAGCACCATGTTCTTTGTCACCGCTGTTGTGAGTGGTGGGGCCACACCCAGCGGTGCTTCTGTGTTTGGCCACCTGAGTCACACCCCGGGGCCTCCCAAGCATAAACTGCTGGATGGGAATCAACATGAGAATCGAAGGCAAAATCTCAGAATTATACTGAGCACTAAGAGAAGACCAAGAGAGCCAGGGCGATCACGCAAGGGGCTGGAGTCAGTGTTCCAAACGCAGGAGCCCTGGGCTTGGTCTCTGGCAAATTCCCGGAGCACCACGGGGAAGGAGCACCGACCCCTGTGGCCCAAATACTACTACAACAACAACCAACATAAAGCACCGGAGATAGCACAGTGGGTAGGCTGTTTGCCTTGCCTGCAGGTGGCCCGGGTTCGATCCCTGGCACCCCAGACTGTCCCCCAAGTCCCAGAAGAAATGATCCCCGAGTGCAGAGCCGGGAATAAACCCGGACGACTGCTGGGAGTGGCCCAAAAGTCAAAATCAAAACCAACAAATCAAAACCCCCAACCAGAAACAACCTCCCTGCACCCATTCCAGCTCCCCCCAAAAACATAATAAATGCTAGTTATTGTTGGAACATTTGTATTTATACACATTAATTCATAAATGCAATTTACTTAGCAACCTCAGCAACAAATACACATCTGGTTGGAGTATAGGAGAGTAGATGAAAAACCCACAGAGGTCTTACCCAGGATTCGAAGCCCATTTCTGCACTGTTTCTTCATCATCACCATCACACAAGTCAGCAAAAGTAGCTTCTAGATCTTCTAATTGATGAATCCGAGTATCCACACAATCTACCAAATCCTCCTTCAAATATATTAAAGAGTTGAGATTAGAGTTCCTTAAAAGACAAAAAAATACACACAAGTAAAATCCCAGGACAATGAAATTCTCAGTTAAAACTCACAACTAGTTTCAAGCACTAACCATGGGCTTCCCCAGTAAACCCAAAAGTAGGGACCACCCTATCCGGAGCCCCTTAGTTAGCTGGCAGTGTGAGACAGCTAAAAAACAGACAAAGTCCACAGAGAGAAAAGGGGAAGGTACCTCAGTCAGGTTGGTCCCCGGCTTTTTAAACTGGTAGAGCTCTTGTAAGATTTTGTACTCCTCCTGGAAAGCAAAACGAAGAGTTCACATAATAACTGTAGCACTGTCCTCCCGTTGTTCATCGATTTTCTTCATCGATTTGCTCCAGCAGGCCCAGTAACGTCTCCATTGTGAGACTTCTTGTTACTGTGTTTGGCATATTGAGTATGTCATGGGTAGTTTGCCAAGCTTTGCTGTGCGGGCGAGATACTCTCAGTAGCTTGCCGGGCTCTCCGAGAGGGGCGGAGGAATCGAACCTGGCTCGGCCAGGCTGGCCGTGCACAAGGCAAACGCCCTACCGCTATGCTATAGCTCCAGCCCATAATAAAAGGCCACTAATTGCTCAAAGATCAACTTTAGTGGAAAGTGTTCTATGAAGGAGAGCAGCCTTCACTAAAATGTTAGAACCCGGCAACATGCCTAATATCGATTTCACTGGGCTGGAGCGATAGCACAGCGGGTAGGGCGTTTGCCTTGCACGCAGCCAACATGGCCGACCCGAGTTCGATTCCTCCGCCCCTCTCGGAGAGCCCGGCAAGCTACCGAGAGTATTCGATATGCCAGACACAGTAACAACAAAGTCTCCAATGGAGACGTTACTGGGCCCGCTCGAGCAAATCGATGATCAACGGGAGGGCCTTTACTTTTACTTATTAAAGACCCATCAAGGCATGGCATGAAGTCTAACAATTATGACTAGGAGACTGTTGGCTAATTGGAATCGGGATGGGAATATTTCTATAACATTCCTCCATGAAGGGAAGCAGTTGAGGATCTAGATGAATTCCAGCTCTTTATAGGAAATACATAGAACTGGAAGTAGCCAAGTGTCCACATTCTTCCCTCCTTTCCTCAACCACAGAATAATCTCTCTGATTAGGAATAGAAAGAAAGGTAGCAGGGAATAACAAATACCCAAAGGCAGCAGAAACTTCCCAGCTTCAGTGGGAAGCTGCATCTGACGGTACCCAGGGCATATTCCTGGCTCTGAGTTCAGGGATCTCTCCTGGCAGGAGGATGCTGAGGGTCAAACGGGGGTGGGGGGGGGTGGGGTCCAGCTGCACACAACGCAACCTGTACTCTCTCTCCAGCCCTGGGGCTGGGATGTTTTATGAATGAAACCCTACCATTAACAATTCTGTAAAACCACTCTTTGTAAGATGAAATTTAAAAAGGAAAAGGAAAGAAAAGAGAAAAAAGCCCTGAACTCAATAACTACCAAGATACAAGACATAGTCTTTTTTTGGGGGAGTGGGGGTGGGGGGCTTTTTGGGTGACACCCGGTAATACACAGGGGTTACTTCTGGCTCTGCACTCAGGAATTACTGCTGGCGGTGCTCAGGGGACCATATGGGATGCTGGAGACTCAGGTAGGCTGCATGCAAGGCAGACTAACGCCCTACGCTGTGCTACTGCTCCAGGCCCCAAGACATAATAGTCTTGCTACAACTTGATAGTCTTGCTATAATTATCAGGACACAGTCAGCCTTGGATTTGCTTTCCAGTGGCTTCTCTCTCTGTTACGTATATGAAAGAATGTATACACATGGGGGCCGGAGAGACAGTACAGTGAGTAGGGCGCTTGTCTTGGCCTTGCATGTGGCCGCCCTGAGCTTCATCCCCAGCACCCTATATGGTCCCTTGAGCCTGCCAGGAGTGATCCCTGAGCTCATCAGACCCAGTAGCAAGGCGTGGGTACTGCTGGGTGTGGTCCAAAGGCAAAAAAAAAAAAGTTTTTTGGGGTTCCCATTGGGAGTGCACAGTGCTGGGGCTGGAAGCCAGGTCTCCTGCACAGAGCTGCGTTCCAGCTCCGAGCCGTCTCTCCCCACTCTCGAGTGGCACTGGCCATTCTAACAGTGTTTAAACAACATGGAAGGGGCCAGGGCAGCCTGGAGCCTACCGAGGGGGTGGTGGCGACAGGGGCCACTGGGAGCGTGAAGGAGCTGAAGAGAAGACATCGCTCTTGTGGCCAGTGGGCGCCGTCATGGGAGTGCAGCCCAAATCGTGCTCTCGGGGGTATTCAGAGACCCCGTCAACAGGAGCCAAGGGGGGCAGCGACCCCGAGCCAGGGCTTGACGGGGCATCCGCACCCTGTCCTGGCACATGGCCGTTCACTCTGGGATGAGGGCGAGGACTTGCCCAATAAACTGAACCCACACCCACGCACCGCCCCCTTGGCCCTTCACCCAGTGACTAGCCACTGATGATCAGGTTCCTGGGATTTCCAGGAAGAAAGGGAAAAACAAGACCCAGAGCATGCAGCAGAGATCCTCTGGGGCTCCCATTGCAGGCAGGGTCATGTGGCCGTTTACAGGAAGTCAGGTGATTTCTGGTTCGGGGGCCATACCCAGGGGTGCTCAGGGGACCGTATGTGAAACCAGGGATTGAACTGGGGTCAGAGGGTGCAAGGCAAGCACCCTGAGCCCTGTACTATCTCTCTGGACCCTGATTTTGTTTGTTTGGGGCCACACCCAGTGGTGCTGAGAGCTTACGCCTGGCTCTGTGCTGAAGGACTCATTCTTGGAAGGCTCTGGGGAACTTATGGGCTACTGGGGGTCAAACTGGGATCAGCTGCTGTATGATATGGAGAGCATCCAGCCCCTGGCCTGTTTTCTAACGGAGAGATATACCCTCCAATTCTCAAGATCTGTATTTGCAGATCTTGCAAACAGCACTTTTAAAAAAAAATACTCCCCCCCCCCCCCCCCTTTTGGGTCACACTCAGTGATGCTCAGGGGTTACTCCTGGCTCTGCACTCAGGAATTACTTCTGGCGATGCTTATGGGATGCTGTGGATTAAACCCAGGTCAGCTGCATGCAAGGTAAACGCCCTACCTGCTATTCTATCACTCCGGCCTCTTCAAACAGCACTTTTATGTAGCATTAGAAAACCAAGGGCTGGAGCGATAGCACAGCGGTAGGGCGTTTGCCTTACAAGCGGCCAACATGGCCGACCCGAGTTCGATTCCTCCGCCCCTCTCGGAGAGCCCGGCAAGCTACCGAGAGTATTCGATATGCCAGACACAGTAACAACAAAGTCTCCAATGGAGACGTTACTGGGCCCGCTCGAGCAAATCGACGATCAACGGGAGGGAAAAGAAAGAGAAAGAGAAAGAAAACCAAGGAGTCAATAAAATTTTCATTTGAAAATAACAGAAAAGAAAAGGAAGTGGCACCTTTACCTGAGTGAACATTTCTTTGAAGGGGTTCTTGACGGAAAAAAAATCCAAGTCAATATCTAAAACAAAGGCGGGCCCTGACTTCAAAATCTCCAGCATCTCCTTGGAGTTGGCTGTGGTCTGGTCCTCCCGGACTTCATGTGAGGGAGGATCAAAGGGCTCTCGGCAACCAGGGTCCCTTCCCTGGGCCACTGCATCCTCTCCCGGTCCTTCTGGAGCAGAGGCTGCATTTCCGGTGCCTTCCGCCACGAGCTTGGGCTTTTTGGCAGAATGTTCTTCCTGACTGTCACCAAGTTGATATGGTTTTACCATAATGACGTCCAACTGAAGAGGTTTCGGGTTTTCCAACTGGTCTCCAGTGACATAAAGGCCATCGCTTAGAAAGTAGTGATCTGTGCTGGTCACTCTGTGTCGGAGGGAAAAATGACTTTAGACAAGAGTGATGAGGAAACAGTTTTTGCATAGAATTTGCACAGTATGGCAGAACTAAGTATATATTGACAGTATATGAGAGGTTACACATTCTCTCTCTCACACACAAACATACATGTAAATGTACATATATAAAAATAAATCTCTCTCTATATAAATGTGCATTTGAAATTTTTTTTTTCCTTTTTTGGGTCACACCCAGCAATGCTCAGGGGTTACTCCTAGCTCTGCACTCAGGAATTACTCCTGGTGGTGCTTGGGGGACCATATGGGATGCCGGCGATCGAACCCAGGCCAGCCTCATGCAAGGCAAACATCTTACCTGTTGTACTATCGCTCCAGCCCCAAATGTGCATATTTATGTATCTATAAATTTGGGGGCCACAGCTGGCAGTGCTCGGGATACTCTGAGCTCTGCGATTCTGTGGTCCCCAAGCAAACCAACCAACAAAAGGCTAATTTTCCTTGGCCCTAAGGGTGCTCAGGGCCACAAAGTGGTCCTGGGCGCGTGTCCTGCTGTGCTCAGTGCCAAGGCCTGTCCCTGGGGTGCCAGCAGCAAATGCGTGTACTGCCCCTCGGAGCTCTCTTGCTCACCCATGGCTTTTAATTCTGGAAATCTTCACTTATTTATTTTTAATTGCGCTGAGGGTCACTTTTGGTGGTATTTGGGGACATGGGGCCACTCCAAGTGATGCTTGGCCTAATGGTGCTTAGGGCTACTAATGGCCCAGTACCTTGGCGGGGGGTGTGGGTGCAGGTGGTGCCAGGACTGAAAGCAGGGTTCCTGCATGCACAGCAGGTGCTTCAGCCCGCTGAGCTCTGAGTCTGGTCCTATTCTCTACTGTTGTTAAAAAACCAAAGCGAGAGACTTTCAAACTTTCTCTGCTAATTGTTAAATTCAGCAGACTACAGTTGCATCGGAAGGAAACAGCAAAATCTATCACTCAATACCAATCCAAAAGAACGGATATATTTATATTATTGATAAATCATACAGTTGTAGGCCTGGAGTGATAGCACAGCAGGTAGGGCATTTGCCTTGAACGTGGCCTACCCGGCCGACCCGAGTTCGATTTCTCTGCCCCTCTCGGAGAGCCCAGCAAACTACAGAAAGTATGTCGCCTGCACGGCAAAGCCTGGCAAGCTACCCATGACGTATTCGTATGCCAAAGAACAGTAACAATAAGTCTCACAATGTTACTGGGCCCACTTGAGCAAATTGATGAACAAGGGAGGACAGTGACAATGATACAGTTGTAAGGAAGGTGGTTTTTTTTTTTTTTTTTTTTTTTGCGTTTTGTGTCACACCCAGCAATGTTCAGGGGTTACTCTTGGCTCTGCACTCAGGATTTACTCCTGGCAGTGCTCAGGGGACATATGGGATGCCGGATATTAAACCCGGGTTGGCCGTGTATAAGGCCAACTGGACTATGACTATTGGAATAACCCTCTGGCCCCATCATACAGCTGTAGAATCGATGTAGCACACAGGTTAGTGGGGAGTTAGTCGTCAAAGAGAGCCAGAATGCCTGTGGATGAAGATGGTTAATTAAGAAAACAACTTGAGGGACTGGAGTAATAGCCCAGGGGTTAAGGCGCTTTCCTGGCATGCAGATAACCGCAGTTCATATCCTCGGACACTTAGGGTCCCCTGAGTCCTGCCGAGAGTGACTCCTGAGCACAGAGCCAGGAGTGAGTCCTATGTACCACCAGGTGTGGCCCCTAAACCACTCCCCAAAGAAACATCCCCATACCCCAAATAAAACAACTCGAGGGTTGGGACAGGGCACAGAAACCCTGACTTCTTTGCATGGCAAACTACGTGGCCACCAACTAAATACACACAGGGTGTGGAGAGCTGAAATCAAAGACTGGGAACCCTGCCGCCAGCCGCTTGGGGAGCACAATATGAAACAGTCGTGGCATAGTCATACCCCGGCAGTCTAAGTTTGGGTGCTTTTCCCACTTCGGGGCCAAGTTGAGAGTTTTAATCAGGCGAAGCGAGTGCTGTATCACAGAGCCACGTCCTGGGTGGAGAGAAACTGTGAACTGACCCCACAGGGGCCGGGAACAGGGCCGTGTGGGACAGAGCTCACCCCTGCGCCCACTTTCCTGAATCCGTGAGGCCCCCAAGCACAGAGCCCCCGGGCCTGAGGATGACAGGGAGTGATGATCCACCAGGTGCCTGCAGCTCCACACACACTCACACAGCAGGTGATTACCTAATGGTGGTGGTGGACGTGTCTTTGCCCACTAGAAAGTGGTGTCTGCCCTCGGCGATCTGCTGTGCCCAGGGCGGATGCAGCCAGAGGACATGAGAGAAGTGGCCGGCGTACACGGCAGGCATGATCCAGTTCTCAATGCTCAGCTCCCTGGGAAGGAAAGAGAGGGCATGTGAGATCTTACCCACAACAACGCAGACGGCTGTCTCCAGGCAGTGTCTGGATTCTTCACTACCGTGCACTAACAAAAGTGCCAGCTTTATATTAGGATTTCCATCATGATTTTCATTAAACCTTACTTTTGTATGTAAAATTAAAATTCTTTCTTTTTTGTGTGTGTGTGGGGGGTGGTGTTGTGGGGGTGTGCTCCGGGGGTACACACGGTATTGCTCGGAACTTATTTCTGACTCTGTGCTCAGAGATCATTCAGTAAAGTGTGCCCCTCGCATGCATGAGACCTGGGTTCAATCTTTTATTTTTTTTTGATGTGGGGGGCTTTTGGGTCACACCTGGTGATGCTCAGGGGTTACTCCTAGCTCTGCACTCAGAAATTACTCCTGGTGGTGCTTGGGGGACCAAATGGGATGCTGGGGATTGAACCCAAGTCAGCTGCGTGCAAGGCAAGCACCCTCCCCGCTGTCCTATTGCCTCAGAATTGGTTTGATTCTATTTCTTTGCTTCTATTTCCAATTTTCCCAAAGTCAACAAGATCTAGGACCTAAAATATACAAATGGGGAGATTGGAAGAACTTAGTACTAGGAGGAGGGTTATATGAAATAAATAAGTGCATTGAACAACAGATTTAAATAATATATGTTTTTGTGTGCCTCCACATCCAGACTTTTAAGGGAAAGGAAGAGGCATTCAGATAAACTTGTAAAGTCTCTACCTCTAACATTTGGCTTTCTACTGTTTCTTAGTTAATTTGTTTCTGGGATCACAGGCTCAGGGGGCCATATGGGAAGCGGGGATGGAACCTGGGTTGGCTTCAGGCAAGGTATGTGCCCAAGTCACTGAACTATCTCTCCAGTTCATAATACTGTGTATGCTAAAGCACAGGGTGGCAAACAGTGATTGGTTACTTGCTTTTGCAAATAAAGTTTTATTGGGCTGCACACAGCCAGAGATTTTTCCCTGGCATCTAGGATTGCACTCACACTACAAGGAGTAGAGAGGGGTTTGCTAGAGGGGCAATGTGGCGATCAACCTACGACATTTAAGACAAAGCCTGCAGCACTTGCTCTAAATAAAATAAGTAAAGAAAACCAAAAAACAAAAGTCACGAGCTAAAAAAAAAGTCTGTTTTCCTTATCTGTTTATCATCTACTGCAGGTTGCACTGTAAGCACATCAAGATCATGAAGCAAATCCAGTTATTACCCAAAAAGTGTTTCCTTATCGAACACGGTGTCAGCTGGCATATTCACAGGAATAAGGAGGTCTGGATGGGAATCAAAGTGCACGAAACGTATATTACTAGCAGGAAGATGCCTCGAGCCGATGGCCCGGTATATAAAGGGCAGAACCTGTAAAGAAACAAGCGCACCTTTAGGATTGGAGCTGGTAATAAGATTTTTTGCTCTACTGCGGATTCTTCGAAAATACATGCTAAAGGCACCTGCAAATAATATGACATGGACTATTTCTAACACTGTAGCACTGTCCTCCTGTTGCTCATTGATTTGCTCGAGCAGGCCCAGTAATGTCTCTATTGTGAGACTTGTTACTGTGTTTGGCATATTGAATATGCCATGGGTAGCTTGCCAGGCTTTGCTGTTCGGGCGAGATACTGCTGCCTTGCATGCGGCCGGCCTGGCCAACCTGGGTTTGATTCCTCCGCCTGTCTCGGAGACACCAGCAAGCTACCAAGAGTATCTTGCCTGAATAGCAAAGCCTGGCAAGCTACCTGTGGCATATTTAACATGTCAAACACAGTAACAAGTCTCACAATAGAGACGTTACTGGGCCCGCTCAAGCAAATCGATGAGCAACGGGAGGACAGTGTGACAGTGTGACACATATCTGAATGTCCACATTGGAAGAGGGATTTCACTCACATGTCTGACAGTAGGGAAATAAAGAAGTTATTAGTGTAGTTGATAGATGATGTGTCAAACATTGCCCCTCCAAAGGCTTCCGTAGGCATCTCTAGCTGTAATCTTGCCCGCATCTCCAAGTAAGCAGGGAAGACAGGGAAAGTGGACAAGGCTTGAGGCTCAGGAAAGAGCTACTGAAGAATGAGTGAGGGGGCATGGGCACTCTGATTGGGCACTGGGTGCTGAGAGAAGGTAAGGTGAGATGCATGATACCCCATCAGGAACAGGACTGTAAACCACAGAGCTCAAAGCGGGGAGGCAGGCTTGGAAGGGGTGGTGCAGGAGGGAAGCTGGGGGAATTGGTGGAGGTAAGAGGCCTTGGGTGAAGGTCTTGGTGAGTGCTGAAACAATGTATCCCTGATACACATTCAGGAGTAACTTTGTAATTCAAAACGATTCAACTGAGGAAAAAAAAAAAAGAATGAATGCAACGTGGGGCATTCATTCTGGTAAAGTGCTAGCCTTGCACTTAACACACCTGGGGTTTGACCCGACACCCCATATGGTCCCCAGATCCCCACCCGGAGTGATCCTTAAGCAGTGCCAGAAATAAGCCCCAAGTACCACCAGGTATGGTCCCAAAAGCAAACCAAAGGAAAGAATGAATGCACGGTCTCGCATCCAAGCTGTGTTCACCGGCCTGGGATCTTGGGTTCTGTTCCATTCTTCTGGAGGGGGTGCTTTCTCTTGCCAGTCTCTCTAGACCCAAGGCAAAACTCAAAAGTGCCACCCAACACACGCGGCTCTTCCAGCTAGCTGTCCAGGACCCAAGGAACCACTGCTCTTGGCCCGGGCGCCACCCACAAACCTGGAGTTACCCTCTGCCTCTCCCAGCAGCCAACTCCTGCGGCTTATTCCTGTTCCCTAAATGCCTTCGGTGCCTGGGAGGCTTCCAGAAACGGACACTCAGGCAAGTCAGGCTGCGTGGCAACTGCACTACCAGCAAAACCCCGCCGGATCCAAGCCCAGACAAACATATATACACACTAGGACACACCCCACAACCGTCTGCACCTCACAGAGGACGCCCCACCATCTGGGCACGAGGCGCCAGGGCAGTGCGGGGACTGAGCGTGCAAGAGTGTGTGCGCGCGATCGGATCGGGGACCTGGCTAGGGTGTCCGACAGTCCTGGTTCGAATCCCGACGCTACCAGTTGTGGGCTGTGGGGTTTCGGGGCACACCCAGAGGGTTAAAACAACACAACAACTAACACAAACAACAACAACAACAAAACAACTACTAACACTGGAGTATGGGTGATAGCCTAGCGGGAAGGGCGTTTTTGCCTTGCACGTGGCCGACCGGCGTTCGATCCCGGGCACCCCACAAGGTCCACCCAGCACTTGCCAGGAGTCCTTCCAGAGGGCAGAGCCAGGAGGAACCCCTGAGCATCGCTCACTGTGACCCCACCCCCCTCCCCCAAAAAGCAAAACCAAAACAAGCCCCAAACTTTAGCTCGACGCACCCTAAGCGCCCGGGAGCGCCCTCCGACTCACCTCCTGGTGGTCCTCCACCACCCACACCGGGAGCTCGGGGTACTGCCGGGGGCGGGCGCGCTCGGCGGCGGCGGCGGCGGCGGCGGCGCTCATAGTCGTCTGCTGGGGCCGCTGCCCAACGCGGCGCGGGCAGCCAGAGCCCCGGGATGCCCAGACGCGCGGCGCCAACTACCAGCGCCTTCCCCAGCGGAGATGCGCGCTCACCCGGTTGCGGTTCCGGATTGGAGGAAGGAGAGGGCAGGGGGCGGGCGCCTAGGGACTCGGCCGAGGCGATTGGGCGAGCTGTCTGTCGCTCCGACGCGCGCTCCAATCCCGGCGCGGCGCGGCGTCCCGGCGCTCTCCCTGCCGTGACGGTCCTGCCGGCGCTGCTCTTTGCTTTTGTAATTCCTTGGGTTTCCTGTTCCGGAGGCGCGGGCGGCGCCGCGGGCTCGGCGGCCGCGTTACAGCACTGGCTTTGCACGGACGACGATCTCGTGGCTCCAGAGCCTTTGGGAGGTAAAAGTCGGAGGACCTCTGGGTGGACGTTGGAAGGGGGAGTGTTTCCGAGTGCCTGCATTGAAAACGGGCACAAGTTCCGGGCTTGGGGCCCCTCTACCCTGGGAGTTGGGAATTCCGTGTCTAGCAACCCCTTTTTTCAGATCTGCAAGGAAGGGCAGAAGAGAGACCCTAAGGCCCGGATTCCTCTAGCAGGGAAGCTCTAGGGGCGCCCCCTTTTCATTCATTTGCTGAGTGCACGCGCTGGTCCAGGGCCTTGAGGTCTGGCCGGGTCCCGAAAGGAAGCGAGTCGGTGGCGAACTGGCCCCTTGGGGCACACGGTCGGGCGGGAGATGCAAACAGGCAATTACCCATCTGCCTCTCGAAGGTGACAGACGTGAGAGTTCCGCCCGGGTGGTAGAGCGGGAGTTCTTTGGAAAAATGCACCACGCACACTTTGCAACTTTCTCTGCAGGAGACTGACGTCCCTGGACGCGTCGAACTGTTAGAAATTGCCTTCTCTGTTTCCCTCCTTTCCAAAGTGCAACCCGGGAGTTTGCAGGTGTAGAAAATACTGACTTTGTCAGTTCCACAGAGTTCCCTGACTTTGGGATTAAAGTGTGCACCCACAGCACAACGCACAACTTCCTAAGCCTGCTTCTGCGAGTCTATCTATAGAAACGGTCGTAAGGGTCCAAGAGCGATTGCTCAGCTGTTCCACACCACACAAGATTGTTAAGTGAGTCCATCGCTTCCCTGCTCCTAGATTCCGCACACTCCTTTGGGTTCGTGTTCTCCCATGACCCCCCCACTTCCCTCGTGTTTATCACATTGCATTCTTTTAGAAATGTTTTTGTATGTGGTTTCTGAGCTCTTTTAGTCCTGTAGAAGACTCAGTGTGTGTGTGTGTGTGTGTGTGTGTGTGTGCGTGTGCATGTGTGTGTGCATGTGTGTGTGTGTGTTTCTGATTCCTCATGACATGTGAACTGAGCTGCGTTTTGGCTGGTTCTGGTCATGCACATCTGTGAATTGATGTGGAAGGGAACTGTCCAATAGCAGCACAGAGACACGGACCATTGGTAGGACAAACTTTATTGATCACCTGTGGTATTGTGTGCAGGATGCTTTCCCCGGAAGTGTGAAGGATGCAGAGATGACTGAATCAACCCAAGGTGGCAGGGAGCTAATCGAGCAGAACAGTTGGACATGTGCACTCATGGCTCTTACGCGAGACTGCCTCTGGTAAGTGCTTTCAAAGAAGTAAGTATAGGGACTGGAGGGATAGTACAGTGAGTAGGTACTTGTTTTGTACACAATTAACCCTCGCTCACTCCTCTGCATCTCACTCACTCCTCTGCATCTCGTATGGTCTGGAGTGATCCCTGAGTGCAGGAATAACCCCTAAGCATTGCCTGGTGTGGCCAAAACAGATGAGTCCAAAAAACTGGAAAAAAAGAAGTGAAGTACAGAGTCAGCACAATGACAGTGTAGAGGGAGTGGGATTATTGCCTTGAGTAGTCAGGGATGGCTAGATCAGCTAGATTATCAGAATTATCCTAAGGGCATTGGACTGACTTAAAAAAAATCATTAAATCAAGTATTGGACTAAATAAAGAAAAATAATTAAATCAAATAATGGGTACTGTCTACTTACTAAGCATAGTGATTGAAACCGCTGAATATTTTTTTCCCCTTCCTTTTTTATTGAATCACCTTAATCACTGTGAGATACATAGTTATAAAGTTGGTCATGATTGGGTTTCGGTTATGTAATGTTCCATCTTTTCACCAGTGTGTATTTATTTTCCACCACCAATGTCCCCAGTTACCCTCCTGTCCCCCACTCCCCCCAGCCCGTCATAGAGGGTTTTCAATACCAGCACTGAAAAGTTATGTCTATCACTTTACCTCGCTTCAGCACTCAGTTCTTGTCCAGAGTGATCGTTTGTAACTATCATTGTCATAGGGTTCCCTCTCTGTCCTAATTGCATTTCCCCCTCACCTCCCTTTGTAGCAAGCTTCCTACTACAAAATGTAGGAAGTGCCCCTGGCCCTCATTTCTACTGTCTTTGGGTATTAGTCTCATACTATGGTTTTTTTTCCATATCCTACACATGAGTGCAATCATTCTATGTCTCTCCCTGTCTGCTAAATATTTTCACAAGCCACTTGAAAATATACTTTGAACCTACTGGCAAAACTCTAGACTTCAGGAAAATGAATTTTGCACCCAGTTATGTACATATATTAATGTTCACAACATTTTTCTATAAGAATGGTGGAGAATGAAAATCAAGCAGAATAACTTTTTTATCTGTGAGATAATTATTGGCATGGATGGTGTGTGTCAGCAAACATTAAGGACATCTTAAAGTCTGTTTATTTATTTTGCTTTTTGGGTCACACCCGGTGATGCACAGGGGTTACTCCTGGCTCTGCACTCAGGAATTACCCCTGGCGGTGCTTAGGGGAACCATATGGGATGCTGGGAATCGAACCCGGGTCGGCCGCGTGCAAGGCAAACGCCCGGTATACCCACTGTGCTATTGCTCCAGCCTAGACATCTTAAAGTTTAATTGGAAGCTTTAATTGAGTTGTGAGCCCTTCATTTTATTAATAGGCTAAATGGATCGGAAGGTGGAAGTCAGTGTTCTGGAAAGTGTGGACATGTGTTTAGCATTGATGTGTTGGGAGACCATGCTTATGGTTGTCGTGTTTTTTCTGTCTTCTAGAGCGTCTGTCCGCGGTGGGAGATGTGGCATATCTAGTTAGTTCGGGACGATGCAAGGCAATACGTGGTGAGTAGTTCCATGGCCTTGGCCTGGGATAACTGAGAGGTCCAGCCCCCGGGAGGGTTTTGTTAGGAAAACAGAAAAAAAAAGCATGATCTTGTGGGCCACAGACAGGCCACCAAACTCAGATTAGAACATTTAGTGTCATGTCCCAGAGCCCTGTCCTGGTGAACCTGGTGGTACAGCACAGGAAGGAGGCAATTAAATGATTAGTTGGGAGACGTTCATTATGGCAGCCAACAAGCAGGAAGCCCAAGCAAGGTGGGGGATATGACCATGCTGTGGGGGGGGGGGGGGGGGGAGCCCATCGGGAGTCTCTGTCTCTGCGGGAGAAGGTGTGTGAAATTAGATGAACCCAAGAAGAACTTACAAAGCAGAAGTGATAGGAACCTAACAGGAGTGTTACAATGAGTTTGTATTGTATTTTGGGTCATACCTATTGGTGCTCAGGGGTTCATATTGGGTCCGGGGATTTAACCGGGGTCAGCATCACAGAGGGCAGGCCCTTACCTGCTGTGCACTCTCTCCGGTCTGGTGTTTTACTGAAAGAGGATAAGGTAGTTGCACAGTTCATGACTTGAGGACCAGTGACTGGCATCATCTGTTTGTAGGGGCAGTGCTGAGGAAGGAGTACCTGTCTTGGCGGGAACGATCACTCATTCCTGTTAGGACCCCCCGTGTGTTTTTTGCAGAGTTGGACGAATAGTTAGGAGGACAAAGAAAGGAAGTCACTGAGAGGGAAAGCACAGGGCCATGTGTTTTCTGTAGGAAAATGAGCAGAAGTAATACAAGAGTGGGGCGGAGGGGTGACAGTGGATGGGAGAGTGTCCCCAGACTTCCCAGGACTGGCTGGGTACAAAGGATTGCAGGGACCTTTCCCAAAACAGCAGAGAATCAGGACTGGCATTAAGTGAGCCATGGAAAGTTAAGGAGAGGATGGATGTCTTCCTCTAGTTGGCTAGTAGTCTTTAGTGGAACAAACTTCCTGAGTATGTGCTCAGGGAGACTGGTTTGTGTTTTTTTTTTTTTATTGTTTGGGGGCCACATCTGGCAGTGTTTAAGAGATCACTCTTGATGGGGCTCAGAGGCTGTGTAGGATGCCAGGAATTGAGCCCAGATCAGCTGCCTGCAGGGCAAATGCTATACCCACTGTACTCTCTTGCCCGAGATTATGTCAGATATAACGTATTGTTGTTGTTGATTTTTTTTTTTTTTTTTTTTGCTTTTTGGGTCACACTCAGCGATGCTCAGGGGTTACTCCTGGCTCTGCACTCAGGAATTACTCCTGGCGGTGCTCGGGGGACCATATGGGATGCTGGGAATTAAACCCAGGTCAGCTGTGTGCAAGGCAAACGCCCTACCTGCTGTGCTATTGCTCCAGCCCCTATAACGTATTGTTTTCAAAACGTTATAGGGGCTGGAGCAATTTATTACCCTAGATCAAGGTTCTGAGACAAATACAGCTTAATGCATAATAGCAGAGAGAGAGGAGAGGAGAGAGGAGAGAAAGGAGAAGAGAGAGAGAAAGAGAGAGAAAGAGAAGAGGGAGAGAAAGAGAGGGAGGGAGAGAGAGAAAGAGAGAAAGAGAGAGAGGAAGAGAAGTGTGTGCTGTCTGGAGGGTGGAGGGATAGTATGGCAGGTAGGCACTTGATTGCTGGTAATGACCTAGGCTCTCTCCTTGGTACCACATATGGTCCTCTGAGCCCTGGTGACCCACCCTTCTTGCCCCGAAGGCAAGCATAGATCACGGGGACCTGATGTGAGCAGAGAGGACCGGATGGGGAATCCCACAGCTTGGGTTGCGGTCTGGAGGCCTGAGCTCAGCATTCTGGAGGTGGACAGCTTTGGGGAATGAGAAAGCGGGAATGTGGTTGGGTGGTCCCCGCGGGGTGCTGAGGTCCCTTGGGGAACTAGTCCTTCCCCTCCCCCTCCCCTTGCTGGACCTGGACAGGCACCTGCGAAACCCTCTTTATAATGAATTTTTTTTCCTCTCCTGTTTCCCTGCCCCCCTCTCTTTCTCTTTCCTCCAACCAAGCCACAGAATGTCATTCCACCCAGGACGAGGGTGTCCCCGCGGAAGGGGGGGGCCCGGACCCCGACCCTCCACCCCAGCTTTTAGGCCTCAGAACCTGAGACTGCTCAACCCCCAGCAGCCGCCCGTGCAGTACCAATACGAGCCCCCCAGCGCCCCCTCGGCCACCTTCTCCAACTCTCCTGCTCCCAGTTTCCTGCCGCCCCGGCCGGACTATGTGCCCTTCCCCCCTCCGACGCCCCCCTCGGCCCAGGGCCCACTCCCTCCCTGCCCAGTCCGGCCCCCCTTCCCCAGCCACCAGATGAGGCCCCCCTTCCCCGTGCCCCCCTGCTTCCCCCCCATGCCGCCCCCCATGCCCTGTCCCAATAACCCCCCGGTGCCCGGAGCACCCCCGGGCCAGGGCACGTTTCCGTTCATGCTGCCGCCCCCGTCCGTGCCCCACCCGCCGCCGCCGGTCCTGCCCCAGCAGGTGAACTACCAGTACCCACCGGGCTACTCGCATCACAGTTTCCCGCCCCCCAATTTCAGCAGCTTCCAGAACAGCCCCAGTTCCTTCCCGCCCAGCGCCAGCAGCGGCGGCGGCGGGGGCAGCGGGGGCGGCGGCGGGGGGCGGCGGCAGCAGCGGCAGCGGCAGCCCCCACTTCAGGCACCTGCCGCCCTACCCGCTCCCCAAGGCACCCAGCGAGCGGCGGTCCCCCGAGCGCCTCAAGCACTACGACGACCACCGGCACCGGGACCACAGCCACGGGCGCGGCGAGAGGCACCGCTCCCTGGAGAGGCGCGAGCGCGGCCGCAGCCCCGAGCGCCGCCGGCCCGACAGCCGCTACCGGCCTGACTACGAGCGCGGCCGGACGCCCTCGCGACACCGCAGCTACGAGCGCAGCAGGTAGGGGCGCCCTGGCCCCGCGCCCACAGGACCGGCAGGGGTGTGAGACCCACCACCCGCACCCACGGCACCAGCCGGGATGTGGATCCTGCTGCCCGCACTCACGGAGCCAGCAGGGATGTGGGTCCCGCCCTCCGCTCCTACGGGTCCCGTGGGGATGTGGGCCCGCCTCTCGCGCCCACGGGGCCAGCGGGGAGGTAGGTCCCGCCGCCCGCACCCACGGGGACAGCAGGGATGTGAGCCCCACCGCCCGCACCCACGGGGCTGCAGGGATGTGGGCCCCGCCGCCCGCACCCAAGGCGCCAGCGGGGATGTAGATCCTGCTGCCCGCACTCATGGTGCCAGCAGGGATGGGGGACCCGCCGCCCGCACCCACGGGGCTGCAGGGACGTGGGCCCCGCCGCCCGCGCCCATGGCACCAGCAGCGATGTAGATCCTGCTGCCCGCACTCACGGAGCCAGCAGGGATGTGGGTCCCGCCCTCCGCTCCCACGGGTCCCGTGGGGATGTGGGCCCGCCTCTCGCGCCCACGGGGCCAGCGGGGAGGTAGGTCCCGCTGCCCGCACCCACAGTGCCAGCAGGGATGTGGATCCCGCCGCCCGCACCCACGGGGCTGCAGGGATGTGAGCCCCACCGCCCGCACCCACGGGGCCAGCAGGGATGTGGGACCCACCTCCCGCACCCACGGGGCTGCAGGAATATGGGCCCCGCCGCCCGCACCCACGGAGCCAGCAGGGATGTGGGTCCCGCCCTCCGCTCCCACGGGCCCCGTGGGGATGTGGGCCCGCCTCTAGCGCCCACAGGGCCAGCAGGGATGTGGATCCCGCCGCCCGCACCCACGGGGCTGTAGGGATGTGGGCCCCACCACCCGCACCCACGGGGACAGCAGGGATGTGAGCCCCACCGCCCGCACCCACGGGGCTGCAGGGATGTGGGCCCCGCCGCCTGCACCCAAGGCGCCAGCGGCGATGTAGATCCTGCTGCCCGCACTCATGGTGCCAGCAGGGATGGGGGACCCGTCTCCCGCACCCACGGGGCTGCAGGGATGTGGGCCCCGCCGCCCACGCCCAAGGCGCCAGTGGGGATGTAGATCCTGCTGCCCGCACTCACGGTGCCAGCAGGGATGTGGGTCTCACCATCTGCACCTACTGGGCCAGCAGGGATGTGAGTCCCGCCGCCCGCACCCACGGGGCCAGCGGGGCTACTGCAAGAGAGCACCGTGCCAAGAGGTTCTCAAGCCAAGGCGGGGCGGGGCTCGGGGCACACAGGGATGCCCAGATGAGCAGCACAGGCTCATCCGAGTCAACCAAGACTGTTTCCGCTCCCGGTAACGCTTGCTGTGGCATGGAACACCTGACGTTTCTTGGGGTTTTGGTATCCCAGTGTAGAGCTTACTCCTGGCTCTGTGCTTAGGGATTCCCCCCAACTGGTGGGGCTCCAGGGACCGTCTAGGAAAACAGGGATCTCTAGCCACAGTTGGCTGCAAGCCAGGCAAGTGCAGCACCCGTGATAGATTTTTTTTTTAACTTACAGGATCAGAATGAATGATTTTTCAGTCTACATTTCGTGTAGGTTTCAATGCGTGATCCACAGAAGTTTTCAGTTATGAATCAAACCCCGTTCCCAGTCAGAACTCATTTTCTGAGACTCAGGGTCAGTGGGACTTTATGTCAGTGGCCCTTCTTGCTATTTCCTGGGCAAATGCAGAGCTGTCACTTTTCTCAAAGTGATCATTTTCGAAACAGCTTTAAAATTTGATTTTGGAGGGTTGAGATATTTACACGGAAGAAAGTTATGTTTAAAAATGTGGTGGTGGGGGGCTGGAGTTATAGCACAGTGGGTAGGGCGTTTGCCTTGCATGCGGCTGACCCGGGTTCAATTCCCAGCATCCCATATGGTTCCCTGAGTACCACCAGGTGTGACCCAAAAAAGAAAAAAAAAATGTGGTGCGGCTGGAGCGATAGTACAGCAGGTAGGGCGTTTGCCTTGCATGCGGCCGACTGGGACGTGATTTCCAGCCTCCCATGTGGTCCCTTGAGTGCCATCAGGGGTAATCCCTGAGCGCAGAGCCAGGAGTAGCCCCTGTGCGTCGGGTGTGACCCAAAAAAGAAAAAAAAAGTAGCTCAGTATTAATGATTAATGCCTTTTTCCCTTCTCAAAGCTAAATATATGTACATCAGAGAATAGATGTTTTCTTCTAGCAGATGTTCTTGCTGGGATTCATAATTGGGTTTCTAGCTCTGAGGTGGTTTGCCAAATTTTACATATATATAATTTACTGTACGTAAACCAGTTAACTTAGAGCTTATTGTCGAGAGATGGATGTGAGTCCTATTCCTAATTTTTTGAACTGTTGGTGTAGATGGAGAAATATAAATGCACAGATCTTAGTTGAGCAGATATTTGTACTTTCAGGTGAGGGTTTGTGGTCTTCCTGTTGTCATGCTAACTGCTTGTTTTTCTGTCCTTGGTCTTTGAGCTGTCTTGGGTCATGGCATGACTGGTGTAATTGTGCCTTAGGGTCAAAGGTAGGGATGCCAATTTTTGCTCTCACACAGGCCAAATCTCTGAAAGGAACTGGGGGCACAGCAAAGTCCTCGTTTCTTTTCTAGAAGGATGTTGGGAGCCCCACCCCCAACTTTACCAGCTGGTCCTTTGGTTTATACAAATTCCCCAGTTTGTGCTCTTGAAGCTGCTCCTTCGTGCTTCTGTGGATGAGGCTGTTTACAAATTCTTTTCCTCCACCTGCACCATGCGGTTGGTCAGCACAAGATTGTGCCAGCGGGGGGGGGGGGGGGGCTGGCTAGTCCTAGTAAAGGTTTGTGAAGGAGTGGTCATACATTGGGAAAGAGTTTGGAAAGAAATGGTTTGACAAGTGCCCTGAGCATGGATGTGCTTGGAGCAGTGCACTACCACAGCTCTGCCACCAGAGGCTCCCGCGTGCAAGCTCCACCAGCTCTGCAAGCTGGACCCCAAGGGTAGTTGTCCACCAGGAGTCGCCTTTGCAGCCCAGACGTTGCCTTTCTTGCTGCAGATAGTTTGGTTGCATTGCCTGTCTGAAAGGATATCTGTTCAAATTGGTCTTTCAAACTCATACTCCAAGGTAGTGTCACGCTGTTCTTGAATGTGCTGTTGCCTCAGTGTTAATAGTTACTAGTCAGAAGTGCCCTCTAATTGTTTTTCCACTACAGAGTATGAAAATGATACTTGTTAGCTGCCACAGTGTTGCAGATTACCTGGTATGTTTGTTTGATACAGTGGCACCAGTCAGTCACTTAGTTTCTATAATTTTAGAATTTCAAAGTCTGCTGCTTAAAAATGGCAATTTTTTCGTAGTGTATCTGATGAAGAACCCAGGCTCTGGCTACTTTGACTTTGGCCAACTGGTGTGTATAACTGAGAATTAGTATAGGTTAGTAGTTTATTACTCGGAGGAGACTTGAGGAGGTTGAGGTCTTGAAGTGAAAATGCAATCGTTGTTTTAATATCAAAGATGAAACACCGATTTCTGTCAGTTTTGTAAGCCTTGATTTCTGTTGTGACTTTTTTTTTTTTTTTTTTTTGCTTTCTGGGTCATACCCGGTGTTGCACAGGGATTACTCCTGGCTCATGCACTCAGGAATTACTACTGGCAGTTCTTGGGGGACCATTTGGGATGCTGGGAATAGAATCCGGGTCTTCCTCGTGCAAGGCAAACACCTTATCCGCTGTGCTATCACTCCAGGCCTGTAGGGGGATATTTTTGAGTTCAGCTATTTTTATATTCTTTTCTGGACTTAACAAAAGTATAGAAGATTGCATTTTATTTTATTTTATTTATTTGTTTTTTGCTTTTTGGGTCACACCTGGCGATGCACAGGGGTTCCTCCTGGGTCTGCACTCAGGAGTTACTCCTGGCGCTCCTCAGGGGACCATGTTGGGAATCGAACCCGGGTCGGCCACGTGCAAGGCAAATGCCCTACCTGCTGTGCTATCTCTCCAGCCCCTGAAGATTGCATTTTAAAGTTTCAGCAATAACCTAGCCATTTTTTTCTCATTCTCAGATTGAATGGTCCTTCCGCCTTGGATTTAATTCTGATTTACATACACTGACATTCTGATTTTTGTTCATAGATCTTCACTGTGTTTATTTAGATAGACTCAGAAGTTATTATGATGATGATTACATTCTCATTTTACATGAGAAGGCTTTAAAATTCTTCCTTAAATTTTATTGGGTAAATTGGGCATCTTTATTCACAGATGAAAATAGCAGTTAAAGGTAAAGTGATTTAAAGCCTCCTAGGGGTTAGTGATGACTAGCCCATGCCTATAAACTATCACAGTTTAGTGCTTTTTCATCGTGGAACCTTGTCCAAATCTTTCCTATCAAAGCTGTGCTTTGTATGAGATAGAGAATTTTCTAGAAATCATGAGGGAGTAATTTCCTTCTTTACAGTTTTACCTGTAGGTTAAATAACCAGGATTGCCTGGTTGGAGAGTCTCTAGAAGATTCTGGTCAAGTTCCTTTGCTGTATAGGATCCACCAGGTGCGAATTTTTCCTTTGAAGGAAACAGCAAAACATGTCCAAGTTAGTTAACTCCAGGACAGTTGAAAGTCGCTTTTATCCTCGAGTCATACAGGAACAATAAATGAAAATTCCCCCTAGAGAATCCACAGCAGAGTTCTTAGGTGACGTTCCTTTATTTTTAGAGGATGAAAGTCAGTGAGAGGAGATGGTGTTTTGAGTCCTTTTGTCGAAACCAGCTCTGTGTATTAATTTCTTTAAGAGAGCGGGAACGAGAGAGACACAGGCATCGAGACAGCCGAAGATCACCTTCTCTGGAGAGGCCCTTCAATAAGGAGTACAAGAAGTCTGGAAGGTAAGCCAGCAGGAGTTCACACGGAAAGTGGTCACTGGGGCTGGAAAGATTGTGCAGAGGTCGGGCGCTTGCCTTACTTGCAGCTGGCTTGGGTTCGATCCCTGGCACCGCATCTGGTCTCCGGAGCCCTGGCAGGAGTGATGCCTGAACGCAGAGCCAGGAGTAAGCCCCCAAGCCATCTCCCTCGCCAAACATAAAGTCATACAATTAGCTCCTTCAGTTCCGATTTTTGTGCTTGTGCAAAGCATCTGCCCAATCTCCAGAACAACCTAAGAGTCTGTCCCAAACAACCTGTGAAAAACGGAAGTAACCTGGGATATCAGACCTTACCGATTATGCAAGAGGAAACATCTTAATAAATTTCCCCAAATTGGAATTCAGAAAAGTTTTTCTGGACTCAAGTGATAATAAAATTATTCTTTAATAATTAAAAAGTGATTTTTTGGGGAAACCTTGGAAAGTAATAGTTTTGTTCCAAAAGTATGTTTTCGTGGGGGGGGGGTGGGGGAGTGGGGGAGAGTGAACCTGTAATCCATTAGAAAAATGACACTGAGGTTATTATAACCCTTAAGAAATTTAACCAGTTCTTTATCAAGTAAGATTCATGGTCTCGTCTAATGTTCATTCAGAACAGCACTTTGGAATCTGGTGGATTTGGGGTAAATGATTACATCTCCAGATCTGTTATTGGGCAGCATCCGCACATCTTTTTTAAACTTCATTGTCATTTTAAATAAGATGACAGTGTTTAAAATAAGAACAACTTCTTGCCTTGTTGGGTGGTGAAGAGGCGATTGAGATAATATATGTAAAAAGCATGGATAGATATATCTGGGGGCGACGTTAGTGCCTGACATACCTATCATGCACAGTTATTATGTAAGATAATGGTACCTATCACACATGATTAGCTCCTCTTTCATTGAGGCACCATGATTTATAATGTAGTTAATGACGGTTTCATGCCCACGTCGTACCAACACCACAGCCACCACCAGTGTGCACTTCCCTCCACCAGTAACCCAAGGTCCCCTTCTATGCATCCCTCTTCGCTTTAGGAATAATACATAATTATGACCTGATTTCTAGACTTCTTGAAACGGGCAGAGTATAAAAAATGTTGGAAAGCATTTAAGAATGAGAGAAATCAATGAAACTGAGAACTAGAACAATATTCATAAATGTAAGACTTCTTGTATGACTCATGATTAAACAGTGGTAAATCAAGAAAAGCAAGATAACACATTTCATTAGGTATAATAATTATAAGTATTGGAATAAAGGAGATTTTAAAATCGTAATATATTGGTAAAAGGACAGGTTTGTTTTGAAAAGTTTAAAACTTTAATGTAATGGGTTGATTTCTAAGAAAATGCAAATTACGAACTTCATACAAGAAGCAGAGCATTTTAAAGGTTCATTAACCAAAAAGAAAAAAGAAAAAGCTGAGTGAGTGCCTCCACAAATGAGTGTGTGTGTACAAAACAATCTCATGAATATATGCATGTAAAAATACTATTGAGTGTATTAACCAAGGTTGCATGGCTAAAGATTAGGTGATAATTAGGAAATCTGTAATTCTGTGTCAAATCTCTAAGGTGATTGTGGTATCTGCTGATTAGATATTTTAAAATCAAATTGCACAGGCCCAGAGAGATAGTACAGTGGGTAGGGCTCTTGCCTGGCACAGTGGCTGTCATGGGATTGATCCCTGCCATCCCATATGCCCCCCCATCCCCTCGACCCCCTCCCCCACACGTACCTCCAGGACTGATTCCAGAACACAGGGCCAGGACCTGAAACAACAACAACAAACACATCGGTAAACTAGAAGACGAGCACTCATGAGCTTTATAACAGGATGAGGAAAACAATTTCAAGGTGTCCTTGGTAGACACCATTTCAGAGACCCTGTCTTATTGTTGAAGCCTTAGGGTCTCCTCATCCAGGTGAGGACAGAGGCAGTGCCTTGTGCCTGTCACTGTTGTTTTTTGTTTTTTTGTTTTTAATTTAATTTTTATAGTGTTGTTCACAGTAGTTCTTTACAGATAATATTCAAACACCAATCCCACCACTGTGCACCTTCGCAGCACCGTAAGAGTGTGTGAAGATTGTCGTATTTCATCTTGGAAACATTTAAGCCCTTATATAAGAGATTACAAGCATGTATGATAAACTCAAACAAACGTGTGCTACTTTGCTACATCAGTGGCCATGTGTCCAGGATGCTCTGTGCCACTCTCTTCCAGGAGCTTTATTTCATAGTCTCTGGATCTTGGCCGTTGATGAGACTATATGGCGCCGGAGGCAGCTTGTGGGTGTGACTGACAAGCTACTGTAAAACTGAGGACTTGGGGGGAGGAGACCCAGTCCTGTTCCAAGTGAGCTGGGAGATCTCGGTCACGGGTTCTGCATACGTGGGTTTTTCTGCAGATTCCCCTGTAGGTGAGGCTTTTCCGAGCATTTGGAGAGTGGCCTTGGGCATAGTGGTGGTTGGGTTCTGGAGGTTTTTAGGTGTCGGGTTTCTGCTGGGGTGGGGAGGGAAACTCAACTCACTCCCCTCCGAGTTGCCTCAGTGAAGATGGCCTGGCATGGGGTCAGGATGTTCTGCCCATCACTGTTACAGAGCACTACACAACTGGGTTGTAAAGAAGTGAAAAAAAAGCTCACTTTCTTGACAGTCAGCTCCTAACAGCTGGTAGGTCTCCCAGGGAGGATGGGCGTTTTCTGGGAAAGGGGTGGTGAGCTGGGGCATGTGAGTTTGCGAGATCTCGATAACTTGCGGGGATGGTGTGATGGTTAATGAGATATAGAGGAGCTCAGGAAAGAGCTCCCAGCCAGAAATAACAAACGAAATGGAATTTGACGAGATTAAGTAGGAAAAGTGGGTCCCTGAGATCTACGGAGGTATTGAGGGCAGAAGAAAGTCAAGATGCTTTGTGGGTAGAGATTATAGGGCCCCACTTAATTAAGGCTGAGGATTTTTAATGTAGAATGCTGGAAATCTCTCTGGACTAGTAAAAAGGCCCCTGGAAATTGTTCCCCCTCCAAACACCACTTTCTTTGTTTTGAGGGCTGCATCTGGCAGTCCTCAGGGGTTACTCCTGGCTCTACACTCAGGAATCACTCCTGGTGGTGCTTGGGGGACCATATGGAGTGCTGGGGATTAAAACTTGGTTGACCACTGCAAGGAAAATACCCTACCCACTATACTGTCACTCCAGCCTCCAAACACCATTAAAAAAGAATTCTGTAAATTTTAAGTGAGACTTAAGTTGAACTGCTGGTTTGGGAACTATATAATGTGTCAGATTCTTTGGAGTAGGCAAGAAAAGGGACACAGGAATATTTGCCTTGGTATTAAATGGATATAGGCACAATAATTAAAATAACTTCATATGGCTATAAATAGACCACTAAACAAACTTTGGGTAAGACTCTACTAAGTTTATACCTGTCACAAAGTTGTTTTTTCAAGTCAGGAGGAACTGAAAGAGGGATAATGCAAAGTCTTGGGAGGGCAGAACTAACTAGATTTCTGCCTTGTACCTTGAGAGAGAGAGAACAAAAGTGTTTAAAAAATAATGAAAGGGAATATAAATATTTAGTCTTGGGATGGGAAAGCATTCGGAGCATAATACTCAGGCAAGAAGCATGAATAAAAATGAAACAAAACCCCAAACTCTAGATTTGATGATATTAAAATTGTATGTAGCACTGTATCACTGTCCTCCCATTGTTCATTGATTTGCTCAAGCAGGCACCAGTAACATCTCCGTTGTGAGACTTGTTGTTAACCACAAAAAAAAAAAAAGAATTAAAGAAAAAAAAAAAAACAGTACCCTAGCACAGAAGAAGGGTGATGATCATAATAAAAACCACTTTTTGAAGTGCCATATATTAAATGATACTGGTGTAGTTTTCAAAAGAACTGGGATGTTCAAATAAGTGAACAGGAAATGTGCCATTTCAGTAGGGGTTGAAAAATTCAAGTTAAACGAGAAAAAAATTGGGGGGAGTTTTTTTTTTTTTTAAAGGGGGGAGGGCACAATGGGCTGTGCTCAGGGATTATTCCTGGCTCCTGCACTGAGGGATTACTCCTGGCAGGGCCCAGGGGACCATAGGCACTACTGGGGATGGAACCCAGATGGACCCCGTGCAAGACAAGCTCCTTAATGGCCTGTACCAACTCTCTGATCCTTAAACGAGGAATCGTTTCACTAGAGTGGCAGAGCTTGATAGCAGGCAGACCAACCGGATGTGTGGAACTGGGAACTCAAATTCGGTTTGGATGTTGGTTCAGCCTGTACTGTCCATCTGTCTGTCTGTCTGTCTATCTGTTGAGAAGCCTTACACCTAAGAACTCGCTCTGTGGGAGCGAATCTGCCGAAAGTGCGGGAGTTCAGGTGTGTTGTGGCCAGGCACTGTCCAGTGGCAGAGGAAGTATCAGCAGCCTAGATGGTGCCCGCCTTGATGCCGGTGATGGCATGGGCAGAGACGAGGACACACTGCACGGGGTGGAGTGCTGCCCGTGAGGACACTCTCAGATAGGATGGTGGCCTAGGAGGGCAGGCTCCAGGGGTCCTGTTTTATGGTTTTGTTAAATGTGTATCTGTTCTGTTTTTTTTTTTCCTCCTTTCTCTCTCTCTGTTCTGGTGTCTTTGTGAAACGCAGTGTTGATTGCTGAGCCAGGTGAGGGATTGGTTTTTGTTTCCTTTCTGTTCATGCTTCATTGATTTTTCTGCAGCGGGCAGGTGTACATTTTCCATGATGGTGACGCTTTTTTCCCCTGGTGACAAAGCTCATAAAATACATTCTTTTATTTTTATTTTTATTTACTTATTTTTTTTATTATTGAAACACCATGAGGTATAGTTATAGACTTACAAATTTTTGTGCTTGGGTTTCAGTTATACAATGATCAAGTACCCATCCCTCCACCAGTGCCCATCCTCCACCGCCACGGGTCCCAGCTTCCCTCCCACCCCCCGCCCCCCCATCCCACCTTGCCTCTGTGGCAGGGCATTCCCCCTTGTTCTCTCTCTCTTCTTTTGGGGTCCTGTGTTTTGCAAGAGAGGCATTGAGTGGCAATCATGTTGGTCTATAGTCTACTTTCAGCATGCTTCTCCCACCCTGGGAGGATCCTCCCAACACCCTTTATTTGGTGCTCTCTTCTCTATCTGAGCTTCCTTTTCCCCTAGCACATGTGGCTGGCCTCCAAGTCATGGAGCAAAATAAAATACATTCTTAATATTTAAAAAGTTGTCTAGTTATGTAATCCTTGTAAAATCTTCCTAATTATCCATGCCCTTTCCTCTGACACACACACACACACACACATACACACACACACACACACACACACACACACACACACACACACACCCCTTTCCATGTCATGCAGCCAGAGGTAGTGGTAGGGCGGATGGGATGTGTTCATTTTTGATTGAGTTCTGGACAGGAGCAGTCTTGGCTCACAGGAGGACAGCGAGTTGTGGGGTGCCCAGCGGGGAACACGAACTGCGCAGTGTCTTGTTAAGCCTGGGACTCGGGGTTCCCAAGCAGCGTGACGGACAGAGACATGAACTCGATAATGCAAAAGCAGGAGAAGTTTTATTCCAGTATCTTGGGGTCAACTATCTTACACACAGGGTGGTCTCCTGATAGTGACCCAGACTTCAGGCAGCAAGCGGTTTATAGAGGGTTTGGTTACATAAGCAGTACATGCCTCATTTTTTTTCAGAATATTCTTACTTAGTTACAAAGGTAACAAAGGTATTTGGGCCAGTGTCTAGGGTAACTGTGGTCAAGCAATAGTTAAACAATAGTTTCCACTAGCAGTTTATGGTTACATATGCTACTCATTCTTTTAGGGTTAACAAAAGGCAATTTCTGGAGCATTGTGATTAATTGATTGAGCCCACTGGCTGAGCCCAGGAACTTTCCCAGTGGGTTCAGGTTGGCTAGTTACACATTGTTTCATTGCTGGGAAACCGAGACTGTTTCAGTTCTAGGAACTGAACCTGAGGCCTAGCAGATTTTGCTGATTTCTGACGCCTGTCATGGTGTCAGTTTTGCCCTTACACTCTTTCCTCGGTAGGGTTACCCTGGCTCTGTCTGGCCCCACCCCTTAGTCTTGGGCTGGAGCAATATCACAGCGGTAGGGTGTTTGCCTTGCATGCGGCCGGCCTGGTCTAGCCAGGTTCGATTCCTGCGTCCCTCTCAGAGAGCCCGGCAAGCTACTGAGAGTATCTCGCCTGCACGGGAAAGCCTGGCAAGCTACCCGTGACGTATTCCATATGCCAAACATAGTAACAACAGGTCTCACAATGGAGACGTTACTGGGCCTGCTTGAGCAAATCAATGAACAACGGCAGGACCGTGCTACTGTGCTACCCTGTAGGAAGTTCTCCCTCCCAAGTATGTCTTCCGGGATGTACCTTTGCCAGTTTTGTTCTTAGAACTTCAAGCCTATTGACACAGGCTTGTTTTTAATCCTCAGTGGAGTCGGTGCTTTGGAGGGTTAGCATGGGGTGCAGTGCTGGTTGACTATGTCGTTAGCCCTGTGTGGCTTTCCAGGAGGGTTAGTTAGCGATGCTGTTCCTGGTCCACGCTTGGATCGTGGTCCTTAGGCGGAATTCATAGCCAATTCAGGCCCTTATTTTATGAAACCTTCTCCTCCCCCCACCCCTCCATTGACAAAGCAAGATGTGGAGGGTTGAAAACTGGAGTTTTCATTGCCAATATTTGTTGAGCTGTGGAGGTTTCCAAATTCTTCCCCCCACCGTCTTTCTCTTGCAGGAGTTACGGTTTGCCAGCGACTCCAGAACCCGCCGGATGCGCACCGGAATTACCTGGGGAGATTATTAAAAATACAGATGCCTGGGCCCCAGCCCCAGAGACAATGAATCAGTAAGTAGATCAGGGGTTGGGCCTGGGAATTTGTATTTTTAAAAACGAGTATAAGTGTCAGGTGATTCTGGTGCCACCAGAGTGGAGTTTGGGAATCTTGCCTTGCCAGACAGTGAACGCAGTGGTTTGTCGTGGTATCTTGATTTTGGGGGAGACAGGGATTAGAACCGATGCATACTTTCATGGCGGAGGGGCAAGTTTAATAACCAGGCTTCTCTGCCCCCTTTTCAAGTCGTTCCCCAAGTAGGGAGAAGAAGAGAGCTCGCTGGGAGGAAGAGAAAGACAGGTGGAGTGATAGCCAGGGCTCCGGCAAGGAGAAGAACTTCACCTCGATTAAGGACAAGGAGCCAGAAGAGACGCTGGCTGACAAAAATGAGGAGGAGGAGGAGGAACTTCTGAAGCCCGTGTGGATCCGCTGCACCCACTCCGAGAACTACTATTCCAGTGACCCCATGGACCAAGTGGTAGGTGGGATGGGTTTGGGGGGCAGGGAGACAGTGTAGACGGTTCTCTCCACCTCAGCACTATCGGGTCTGGTGATTCTTGGTGCGGGTGGCCCTGAGCCGTGGAGGAGGCAGCTCTGTGCCCCAAACCCTCATCAGACACTGGTAGATGCCCGCTGGGGTGGGGAGCAGGCCATAGGGGAGCTGGCATCAGAGACAGAAGCTGTTGTTCTGGAGCAGAGGGGGGCGCTCAGTGCCTTTCCAGGCGCCCCGTTCTGACATTCGTTTGCACATTGCTGGCTCTGACACGGGTGGTGTTGAAAGCTCTCTTGAATCAAATTGCTTCTTACTGTGTGTGTGTGTGTGTATGGGTGTGTGTGAGAGAGAGAGAGACAGACAGACAGACAGACAGAGATTGATCTTGAATTGTTTTACACATTGTATGTATGGGATGTGTGTGTTTCTGTTTGTCTCTCAAGTTGTTTTGTAATTTGTGGTGTGTGTGTGTATGTGTATGTGTGTGCGTCCATGCGTGTTTCTCACCTGAGTTGCTTTATACAGTGATTTGGGGTCTATGTGTGTCTTCAAATTGCTTTATACAGTTTGTGGGGTGTGTGTGTGTGTCTGTGTGTTTCCACATGTAATCTTTAGGCAGCTTGTGTGTGTGTCTGTGTCTGTGTGTGTCTCTCTTGCCTGATTTCTTTATGCAGCTTGTGTGTGTGTGTGTGTCTGTGTCTGTGTCTGTGTGTCTCTCTTGCCTAATTTCTTTGTGTAGTTTGTGGTGTGTGTGTGTGTGTGTCTATGTGTGTCTCTCTTGCCTAATTTCTTTACACAGCTTATGGTGTATGTGTGTGTCTATGTGTCTGTGTGTATCTCACCAATTTATTTATGCGGCTTGTGGTGTGTGTGTGTGTGTGTGTGTGTGTGTGTGTGTGTGTGTCTCGCCTAATTTCTTTATGTAGCTTGTGGGGTGTGTGTGTGTGTGTATCTGTGTCTGTATCTATGTGACTGTGTGTCTCTTTTGCCTAATTTCTTTGTGCAGTTTGTGGTGTGTGTGTCTGTGTTTGTGTATCTGTGTCTGTGTGTGTCTGTGTCTCTTTGTCTGTGTGTCTCTCTTGCCTAATTCTTAATGCATCTTGTGGTGTGTCACGTGCGCACGCGCGCGCGCGTGTGTGTGTGTGTGTGTGTGTGTGTGTATTCCTTCTTGAGAAGTGGGAAGCTGTGAGCGTGCCTCTGGGTCTGCCTGGAGTGCTGGGACACTCCCAGTGAGTGTGGGCTGGTTCCCCGGGAGCCAGCACATGTGCTCTTAGGAGCTGGGGCAGCCGCAGCCACCCCCCCCCCCCCCCCCGCCTCCTCCTGGACCTTCAGACCTTGTTCTTTTCCCGTTTTGCTTATGTGAGCCTGGGCTGGAGCGATAACACAGCGGCAGGGCGTTTGCCTTGCGCGCGGCCGGCCAGCCAGCCAAGCCAGGTTTGATTCCTTTGCCCCTCTCGGAGAGCCCGGCAAGCTACCGAGAGTATCTTGCCCACATGGCAAAGCCTGGCAAGCTCCCTCTGATGTATTCAGTATGCCACACACAGTAATAAGTCTCACAATGGAGACATTACTGGGCCTGATTGAGCAAATTGATGAACAACGGGAGGACAGTGCTTATGTGAGCCCCGTTAATTGTATTTTTGTTGTTGTTTTGGGGCAACATCCGTTGGTGATCAAGGTATACTTGGAGCTCTGCACTCAGGATTTACTCTGGTGGAGCTCAGGGGACCATATGGGGTGTATTCCTTCCTCCTGTCGGAGCTGGGGATTTGCTTCCCAGTTTTTTTTTTTTTTGCATGTATTGAAAACTCTAGTCAGGAAGGAAAGGCTGGTAGACCAGAACCCAGTGTCTGTCTTGAGTTGGGTTGAGAGAATGAATGGTCAGCCAGCCTCATCTGCTCGGGAGGCCTGCCCGGGGCCAGGTGAGTCTAAGGCAGGCGGACACCGTCTTCGTGGGGCAGATCGATTGATCTGCTCCCGTTTGACCCATATGCCCGTAAGGGCTCTACTCACTGGGCGGAGAGCACTCATTTGGATCTTAGAAACACTTGGGAGGCAGGTCAGCCTGGGCAGAGAGCAGGGCCGGGTGGGAGACATGAAGGAGACATCGTGCCTGGCCGTGCTGTAGGTGTGTCCCTGTGGGGGAGGAAGGCTGTGAAGGCTGTTCTTTTTCCTTTTTTGAAAAATTTTTATTTTCATAAGGTTGTTCACATTAATTGATTGCATTCAATATTTCAACACCAATCCCACCACCAACACACCTTCCCACCACCATTATTTTGAATTTTCCCACCACCATTCAGGCCTGCCTGCCGGGGCAGGTAAAGGTAAAGGCCCTCCCGTTGATCATCGATTTGCTCGAGCGGGCCCAGTAACGTCTCCATTGGAGACTTTGTTGTTACTGTGTCTGGCATATCGAATACTCTCGGTAGCTTGCCGGGCTCTCCGAGAGGGGCGGAGGAATCGAACTCGGGTCGGCCATGTTGGCCGCTTGTAAGGCAAACGCCCTACCTCTGTGCTATCGCAGATGCCGGATAATTTATTTACTATTGCTTATTATGAATATCACGAGAGGTTGCTGCACCTCTGGATTCTAAAATTGTAAGTGGTTGGGGTCCAGAGACATCTCTGCGGGGAGCTAATCCATTTTGAGATTCTTTTGGGAGTCTCTGGATCAAGGCTGTTGACAAGCTGAGATGGCCCCCTGAGGCAGATCCTGTGCATAACAGCCAGGACCCCAAGCTGGCAGGGAGACTGGAAGGGATGGCCTGTCTCTGCTGCCACCATGTGGCCGCAGTCTTAGTCCCCGTGTACCTGGGTTTTGCTTCTAGAAGCATGTGGCCACTGGAGCGGACAGAGAGGGCACCTCCGCTCCATCTGAGGTGCCCGGATGGAACTGGCTTTGTACAGGGTCCAGAGAGATCTCCGGCGAGCTGCTGTCTTCTGGGATTCAATGCTGTATCTCTTGTGGAGGCTGTTCTTTTTTTTCTGTTTCCTTTTGGGACACACCCAGTGATGCACAGGGGTTACTCCTGGCTTTGCACTCAGCGTTACTCCTGGCGGTGCTCAGGGGACCATATGGGATGCTGGGAATCGAACCCGGGTTGGCTGCGTGCAAGGCAAACACCCTACCTGCTGTACTGTTGCTCCAGCCCCACAGAGGCTGTTCTTTTTTTTTTATTATTTAATTTTTTTAAAATTTTATAAGTTAGTTCACAATATTTGATTACATTTAATATTCAAACACCAATCCCACCACCATTATACCTTCCCACCACCAAATTCGGGACATTTCCAAGCCCCAATCCCTGTGGCAAAACACAAGCAAAGTAATATATATTTTGTATTGTCTGTTATGAAGAATTGCTGAACATGCTTACAAAAAAGTGTTCATATAAGAAACAGTGTGAAGATTGTTCTATTTTGGCAGGAGCCATTGAGACTGCCGGGACTGGGTCCCTTGGGGCGGGTTGGGGGCTCTCACCCGTCCCCCTCTGGGGTGCCATGGAGGCTATTCTTGATGGGAAACGGTGGGTTTGTGTGGAGCAGGGGTTATCAGGAGCTCTGCCTGGACATGGTGTGTATGTTCCCAAGCAGGGTGTCAGGTTTGCGGAGAGGGAGGGGGGTGAGATTTTTTTTTTTTCCTATGTGGGGCCATAGAAAAAATTCTGAAGCTTCTTTTTAAAAAATTTTTTATTTATTGCTTTTTCAATTATACCTGGCAGTGCTCAGGGGTTACTCCTGGCTCTATACTCAGGAACCACTCCTGGCAGTGCTCAGGGGACCATTTGGGATGCCGGGGATTGAACCCGGGTTGGCTGGTGCAAGGCAAATGCCCTCCCCGCTGTACAATTGCTCTAGCCCCTAGTTCTGAAGCTGAAACTGCAGCCCGGGAGTGTTGGTGCCCCCGCGGGCTTTGCTGTCCCTGTGCTGTCCCAGCTGCTGAGCTGATTCTTTCTCTCCAAAGGGGGATTCTACGGTGGTCGGGACCAGTCGGCTTCGGGACTTATACGACAGGTTTGAGGAGGAGCTGGGGAACAGGCAGGAGAAGGCCAAGGCTGCCAGGCCTCCGTGGGAGCCCCCCAAGACCAAGCTGGATGAGGATCTCGGTGAGTCTGAGGTTGGGGATTATGGAATCCTTTGAAAATTTAATTTAATTTTTTTTTGGTTCTTGGACGACACCGGGCTGTGCTCAGGGCTAACTCCTGGCTCTGTGCTCAAGAATCACTCCTGATGGGGCTCAGGGGACCATCTGGGATGTCCAAATAGAGCATCTCAACCTTGCAGGGGCAGTTTCCAGAACTTCCTTTCCATCTTACACCCTGAAGTGTGTGTGTGTGTGTGTGTGTGTTTTGTGTGTCTGTGTGTGTGTCTGTCTGTATGTGTCTGAATGTGGTGGGGCAAAGGAGTTTGGGCTATACCCAGCTATGCTCAGGCGGAGTTGGGGAAACCACATGTGGTGCCTGGAATCAGACCAGAGTCAGCTGCATGCAAGGCAAACTGCATGCAAGGTAACTCCTTTGCGCTTGCGCTCTCTCTCTCTCTCTGTCTCTCTCTCTCTGTCTCTCTCTCTCCCCCTTTAAATTCTGTGCCCCCTAAAAAAAACTCCAGAATCATCTCTCCCCCTCACGGCCTGCCCTCCGGCCCTGGCTGCTGCTCTGCTTTGTCTCACAATTGTCGTGCCTTTAGGCAGCTCGTGTGAGTAGAATCATACAGTATTTGTCTTTTTGATGACGGTATTTTGTAGTTCTCGGTCTTCCAAGGACTGACTTCTCCTGTCGCGGCTATTGAGAGAAAACAAACAATTAAATTTCTTTTTTTGCACGGCAGAGCCTGGCAAGCTACCTGTGACGTACTCAATATGCCAAACACAGTAACAACAAAGTCTCCAATGGAGACGTTACTGGGCCCGCTCGAGCAAATCGATGATCAACGGGAGGGCCCTTACTTTACTTTTACTTAATTTCTTTATTTTTTTGGGTCACACCCGGTGATGCACAGGGGTTACCCCTGGCTCTGCACTCAGGAATTACTCCTGGTTGTGCTTCGGAGACTATAAGGCCCTCCCGTTGATCATCGATTTGCTCGAGCGGGCCCAGTAACGTCTCCATTGGAGACTTTGTTGTTACTGTGTCTGGCATATCGAATACTCTCGGTAGCTTGCCGGGCTCTCCGAGAGGGGCGGAGGAATCGAACTCGGGTCGGCCATGTTGGCTGCGTGCAAGGCAGACGCCCTACCCGCTGTGCTATCGCTCCAGCCCCGGAGACTATAAGGGATGCTGGAAATCGAACCCAGGTTGGCCGCGTGCAAGGCAAACGCTCTCCCCGCTGTGCTATCGCTTCAGCCTCAAACAATTAAATTTCTTAGTCCAGCGTTTGGCCCTGGGATCTGACATGTGCCATACCCCAGTACCTCTCATACAGTATTTTTCTTTTTTTTTGCCAGGGGGAAGGGGCTCACCTCTGCCTCAGTCTCCCCATTCTCATCTTGTGCTTCCTCTGTGTCTCCTTTTTCATCCCTCCCCAGCTCTTTCTCCCCCTGCAGCCCCACCCCGCCCTCATTTACGCCATATCCATGCCTGGACCACCTGCACCCCTTCCCAGGATTGTCAGCCTTGCGCCCCCCCATCCCCCTCTCCCAGTCACAGCATGCTGGAATGGGGAGCCCAGTCCCCTCATCCTGTGTGTTTTGCCTTTTTCCTCTGGTCTTTTTTTTTTTGTCTTTTTTTTTTTTTTTCCTTTTTACTGCCTTGAGTTTCTTTCTGGGAATCATCGTTTTTTTTGGGCTGGAGAGAGAGTGCAGGGGCTCCAGGTGTTTGCCTTGCCTGTGACTGACCCTGGGTGAACCCCAGGCACTGACCATCATCATCCCCAAAACACTTCCAGGAGTGACCCCTGAGCACAGAGCCAGGAGTAGCCCCTGCGTGGCCAGGTGTGGTCCCCCACATCCGGATGCATCAAGGGGCCTGGCTTCCTGTCCCGCCCAGCTGGACTCAGGCTGCGTGGGATGGGCCGTTTCCCATTCCTTGGTGCTGCTGGGTGCAGCGCGGGGTGGGCCAACTGAGCCAAGAACCCGCCTCCACGGAGGACCCCTCCCCTCATCCCTGCCTCCTAACCGCTTTTCGTGTCTGTACCCCCCTCACCCACCCTCAGAGAGCTCCAGTGAGTCCGAGTGCGAGTCAGACGAGGGCAGCACCTGTTCCAGCAGCTCCTCCGACTCGGAGGTTTTCGATGTCATCGCAGAAATCAAACGCAAAAAGGCCCATCCCGACCGGCTGCACGACGAGCTTTGGTACAACGACCCCGGGCAGGTGCGCGTGTCTTTATGCTCTCGCCGGGGCCAGTGGGACACCCACAGGTCAGGGGTCTTGGTCGTTCACCCCAGTGCTGGTTTCATTTCTGCTGCAGAAGCACTCAGGCAGCCGTGCCTTGACTCACTTTTGATGATGTTTGTCAGTTCCTGGTGGGGCGCAGGGTAATGGCACTGCATTAATACACAGTGGAAAACGGAGGGAGACAAGGGTTAGGATGGGAGAGAGAACTTCTGAAGGTCTTTTCAAAAAGCAGCTGGCCTGGAATGTATCTTGAAGCAGTACAGAAAAGTGTTTTAAGTCCTACAAGACTTCATATTTCTTAGTGGCTAATATTGAATTCCTTGTAAGTTTCCATCCTTGGTAAGCCTGTTTGAACTTAGGATGAGATGCTGGATATAATCATTCAAAGAAAAAAAAATACAATTTTTTTCTTTTGATTTGTTTTAGAACCACATGGTGGCGATGCTCGGGCCTTACTCCTAGCTCTGCACTCAGGAATCCCTCCTGGGGGTGCTTGGGGGACCCTCTGGGGTGCCGAGGATGGAACTGGGGCGATGTCCTTGCAAGGCCAGCACCTCAACCTCTGTACTATCTCTTTGATCTATGGAAAAGACTTTTCGGATCCTCAGAGATTTGGGGACCTGAGAGATAGTGCAGGGGTAAGTCACTTGCCTGGTCCGCAGCTGCCTTCAGGACCATCCCTCTGGTTCCCTCAGCACTTCTAAGAGTGACCTCTGAACAGAGAGCCAGAAGTGGTGCCCGACTATCAGCGTGTGGCCCCCCCAATACACCCCCCCCCAAGAGACACACATGCGCATACGCGTGACTGCATACTTGCACGCACATATGCAGGTTCACATTTGCATTTAGACCCCAGTTCAGCTTTGTTTTTTCTCATTCACATATGTGAACCATCCCATGTTGGGGCTTCCCGTGTTCCTGGAGCTCATGTAACGCAGTCTTCAACCTTCTCTGCGTTTTCCTGCTGCTGGAACCTCACTCGGATGCCATCCTGCCCTGGCCCATCCAGCACTTCCCACTGGGTCTCTTTCCTGAACCCTTGCAGCCTTAGGGGCCCCTTTGTTTGGACCCTCAGCCGCATGCTATTTCCCATTAGGATGGCGAAAAGTTTCGCGTATGCCCATTTTTCTCCTTCTGTGTAAAGTGCTCCCGAGTCCGCCTGTCCTCCCCCTTCCTCTCAGAGAGACGGAGCAGGAACGCAGTGCTCCCTGGAGCCTCCCGTTCCAGTTCAGGACACAGCAGTGCACCGAGCTCAGGGGACTAGGACGGAGAAACAACCGGAGGAGTGTGGGAGGTTTCCTGGCCATGGGGTCTCGACTCCATCCTGCCTGTAGCTTTCTCCTCAGGCAGCCTCGACTCAGCCTCTCCAAGCGTTTTCTGTGTTTGTTCCTGCAGAACTGAAAGCATTTTGTGCTCGTGTTGGGCGTGTTTCCTGACCCGGGAAGTAGCAGGAGCCGTACCTGTCCCTTCTCTCAGACCCCACCGACAGTTTGCAGCTTTTTTTTTTAAATTTTATTTTCATAAGTTTGTTCACATTAATTGATTGCATTCAATATTTCAACAACAGCCCCACCACCATTATGCCTTTATTTCAAATTTTCCCACCGTCATTCGAGTCTGCCTGCCAGGGGCAGACGCTAGATAATTTATTTACTATTGCTTATTGTGAATATCATGAGAGGTCGCCGTGTTTCTAAAATGATCGTGTGTGGACCTGGTCTCTCCGCAATTGGGTATCTGAAACTTGGACACAACAGGCCCAATCCACTGGGGCAGGGAGGCCAGCCTGGAATTGGGGGGTGGGGGTGGAGAGGGAGTTTGAAGGTCATAAAATTGTAAATGGTTGGGATCCAGAGACATCTCTGTAGGTGGTTGCTAATCCATTTTGAGATTCATCTGGGAGTCTCAGGCTCGAGGCCGTTGATGCGCTGAGATGGTGCCTGGAGGCAGATCGTGGGTGTGACAGCCAGGACCCCACGTGGGCAGGGAGACGGGAAGGGCTGGCCTCTCTCCACCGCCACCAATTGGCCTGGAGTCTTAGTCCTTGAACCGGTGTACCAGGGTTTTCTTCGTTTGCAGCTTTCTTGGTTTGGGGGCGTCTGTTCCATCTTCAGAGCCTCAGATGCTCCTGTGACCTTCAAACACTCTCCCCCCTGACCCCCATTCCGGGCTGGCCTCCCCGCCCCAGTGGATTGGGCCTGTTGTCCTGTTGTGTCCAAGTTTCAGATCCCAATTGCAGAGAGACCAGGTCCACACATGATACTACAAGAGCAAAGGAACTTTATTACTAGCTCAAGCTAGGGTCCAAGTCTCATCCAACAGAGTGGAGTCTTGACAAGGACCTGACGCCAAATCACAAGCAATTTATATCGGGTTGAGAGTTAAGAAGCAGTTTATTGGTCTATTTTTAGCATTGACCCTATTACAATGGTGGTCAGCAATTAGGCAGTGGTTAGTAACAGTTTCTAAGAAGGGTACAGTGACCCTTCATGACCAGCCAGACCCAGCTGCCCAATTCCTTATCTTAGCAAATTACTTGGGCTGGAGCGATAGCACAGCGGTAGGACTTTTGCCTTGCGTGCAGCCAGCCAGGCTGAGCCGGGTTCGATTCCTCCGCCCCTCTCAGAGAGCCCAGCAAGCTACCAAAAGTCTCTCTCCCGCATGGCAAAACCTGGCAAGTTACCCGTGATGTATTCAGTATGCCAAACACAGTAACAACAAGTCTCATAATGGAGCCGTTACTGGGCCCGCTCGAGCAAAATCGATGAACAACGGGAGGACAGTGACAGTGACAGTGACAGCAAATTACTCAACTGGGAGTTTACCAGCAACTGCAAGTCTTGCTTTGGGGAAACAGAAACTGAGGCCTTGCTGAGACTTACTGTTAGCTGCAACTTGTCATGATGTCAGTTTCGCCCTCACACGTCCCCCTTCTCTTTCTGACAGATGAACGATGGCCCGCTCTGCAAGTGCAGTGCAAAGGCCAGGCGCACTGGGATCAGGCACAGCATTTACCCCGGAGAGGAGGTAACCGGGTGGGGTTCTCACATCAGCGGGTGCCCAGGTCCAGATGCTGCAGCCAAACGTTGTTGATAGACCCTTATGCCCTGGGACTGTTTTTATTTTATTTTTTTATTTGATTGGTGGTGTTTTTTTTTTTGGGGGGGGGGGGTTTGTTTGTGGGAGGTAGGGGGTGCCCACCCAGCGCTGTGGGCTCACTCTTTTCGCTACTCTCTGACACTTGGGTGCGACTCGGGATCATATATGGTGCCAGAGGGATGGAACCTGGGTTGGTTGCATGCCTACATAGTGAAAGTCTTACTCCCCGGTGCCATCTCTCCAGCCTGGTAATGGTCTTTGCATATTTCTTATTAGCCCCGTCACTGCTAATTGAAGAAGGAAAAGTCTTGGGTTTTCGTTTGTTTGTTGTTTGTTTGTTTGGGGGCTGCACCCGGTGGTGCTCAGGGCTGATGCCCGGCTCTGCACTCAGGCATCACTCCTGGCGGCTCCATATGTGGTGCCAAGGATCAAAGCTTGCCCTGTGAGAGGCAAGCACAATTTGGGGCCAGGAAGGACGGGGAGGGTAGGCGCTGGAATGAGAGATGTAGTCAAGGAAAGCAAATTGAAGTTGGGAAGATTGCTCAGGAGTCTGGTCACAAGGCCCTAAGTTCAAACCCCGGCATTGCTGGGGGTGACCAGGCCTCACTGGGTCCAAGCTGTGCCATGTCACTGGGATCTGAACATTGAACTGTCCAGCCCAGTTGGGCAAATTTCAACAGAGGACCCCAGGGAGTTCCAGAAGAAAGAAAAAAGGCTCCTTATTGAAAATAGAAAAGGCATATTTGAGTGGTTTTATGAAGCATCCTAAAACTGTATATGCTGTAATTTTAAAGTATTTTTATTTTTAATTAAAACATTTTTTTCTTGCTTATTTATGTATTTATTTTTTTGCTTTTTGGGTCACACCCAGCGATGCTTGGGGGTTACTCCTGGCCCTGGTGGTGCTTGGGGGACCATACGGGATGCCCGGGATTGAACCTGGGTCGGCCGTCTGCAATGCAAACGCCCTACCTGCTGTGCTATCGCTCCGGCCCCTTTAAAATATTTTTATCTTGAATTTCTATTAAGTAATTCTGGAGAGGGGATCTTACTCTTACAAGATGCTCAGCTGCTCTTGTAGCCCATGAGCACTTTCCTTTGAGGCCCGTGAGATACTTCCTTGGTTTGCCTGCTACTTCCTGTCCCTAATCTTTTTTGTTTTGTTTGAAGACCATGCCCGGAGGTGCTCAGGGATCATTTCTGGCGGGGCTCAGGAGACCATAAGGGGTCTCAGGGTTCGAACCCAGGGCAGCTGCATGCAAGGCAAGCGCCTTATGCATTGTCCTATTTCTCTGGCTCTAGAAATCATATCTTGAAGTACATTCTGCTGTGTTTCCCCTGATCTCCCTTCTTTGTCCTCCGTAGGCCATCAAGCCCTGCCGCCCCATGACCAACAACGCCGGCCGCCTCTTCCACTATCGGATCACGGTCTCCCCACCCACAAACTTCTTAGTAAGTGGGCCTTGAAGCTCGGGTCTCATAGCCAGCAGGTCTCCTAGTGATGTAACGAGGTTGGATATACGGGAATAGATTGAAATGTGGATGGGTTAAATTCAGATGCAGGTCTGAAATATTCTCTTGTGATTTTTGTGTTTGTTTCTTTTTGCCCACATCTGGTGGAGCTCAGGGCTTGCTCCTGGCTCTGCATGTAGGAATCACTCCTGGCAGGCTCAGGGGTATATCGGGTGCCGGGATGGAACCTGGGTTGGCTGCACGCAAGGAATAAATGCCTTACCCACTGCAGTGTCTCTCCGACCCCTGATGTTCTTTAAGAACATTTTATTCTCATATTGCTATCATGACCTTCATAACAACTTCTATTTTGGCTTCCTCACACTGTGTTCCATTTCGTACCTTTGTATTTTTTTCCTTTTTCTTTTTCTTTTGTGTTTTTGGGTCATACCCAGTGATGCTCAGGAGTTATTCCTGACTCTGCTCTCAGGAATTATTCCTGGTGGTGCTGGGGGACCACATGGGATGCTGGGACCTGGGTAGGCCACGAGCAGGGCAAATGCCCCATCTGCTGTTCTATTGCTCCAGCCCTGATACTATTTTTTAAAAAAAATTTGTAAATATTTGCCTTATTTTGGGCTAGAATGATAGCACAGCAGGTAGGGCGTTTGCTTTGCATGCAGCCAACCCGAGTTCGATTCCTTTGCCCCTCTCAGAGAGCCTGGCAAGTTACTGAGAGTATCCCTCCCGCATGGCAAAGCCTGGCAAGCTACCCGTGATGTATTCAATATGCCAAAAACAGTACTAAGTCTCACAATGGAGATGTTACTGGTACCTGCTCCAGAAAATCGATGAATAATGGGAGGTCAGTGCTATAGTGCTACAGTACCTTATTTTAGATTTGTGCCCTGGGTATCACATGATAGCTCATTTCTTTCTTTTTAGGGGGAGTGCGGTCACACCCTGAAGTGCTCAGGGCTGACTCCTGTCTCTGTGCTCTGTGCACCACTCCTGGGGTGGGTTCAGGGGACCATATGGAGTGTCAGGGGATTGAAGCTGAGTTGGCTGAATACGAAGCAAGCTACCTACCCACTGTCCCATCACTCCAGTTCCATGTAGGTAATTGCATAATAGCCACTTGGACCTCTGGAGTTGGAAGAAGCCATGGGACACTCTTGTCTTCTAAGTCAGTAGAGAGAGGCCAGAGATAGTACAGTGCGCAGGGCGCTTGCCTTGCGCATGGCTGCCCTAGGTTCAGTGTGGGATATGTGTGTGTGTGTGTGTGTGTGTGTGTGTGTGTGTATCACTGTCCTCCTGTTGTTCATCGATTTGCTTGAGGAGGCACCAGTAATGTCTCCATTGTGAGATTTGTTGTTACTGTTTTTGGCATATTGAATACACCATGGGGAGCTTGCCAGGCTCTGCCATGTGGGCGGGATACTCTTGGAAGCTTGCTGGGCTCTCTGAGAGGGACAGAGGAATTGAACCCGGGTTGGCCATGTGCAAGGCAAACTCCCTACCCACTGTGCTATCGTTCCAGCCCATATCTATCTATCTATCTATCTATCTATCTATCTATCTATCTATCTGCACACACATATATATGTATATATGTGTGTGTATATATATAAATAGTATATATCTGGTTTATTCAGAAATATAGTTCTTTAAGAATAATATGGGTGCTGTTGTGGACATTCAGTAAAGTAGGGCCTAGAAAATGAAGCCATCCAGTCTCCATAATTGACACTCTGCAGTGCCTCTGTCCATGGACGATTGCCAAAGCCAGAGAAGTACACTGAGCAAGGGAAACAATTCACTTTTATAACTGGTGTTCACAGGACATAGAGTCCCTTCGGTTTTCTTCCCTCTCCGTGGCGTTGTGTCCCGACGGGTTTCTGCACGTGGACACCCGCCACCGGTGTCATTCATGCTCTCGCTGCTTCGCTTCCAGACCGACCGGCCGACTGTCATAGAATATGACGATCACGAGTACATCTTCGAAGGATTCTCTATGTTCGCTCACGCCCCGCTGACCAACGTAAGTGTGTGCACATCGCCCGGCCTTCTCCTGGCCTCTGCCTGTCCTCACCTCTCCCTCCTTCTTCCTCTCCAGAAGTCAGACACATCAGATTTCCTTTTGCTCTGACTCCGCGGTCACATTCACTTTGCCTCTCGCCATGTGCTGCAGGAAGTGTGACATCTGTGCTAATGAGTCGCAGGTTTGGTTCCCAGCAAATGGTGTCAGTAAACATGTGTCAGGATAACATTTTGAGGGTGTGAAAGATGGGGGGAAAAGGAGGGTAAACTGTCAGAGTCACGTGGCCGGGCTATTCTGGGTTTGGGTGTCCTTCAAAAGAAAGTTGGGAAGTTTTAAGGAGAAGCTCATGTTTAGTCTCTGGGAACAGAAAAAGAGCCCGTTTAGGACATCTGGAACCTGAACTATTTTCATCCAGCCCTTTGCTTTGGGAATACGTCTTCTCGGTCTGACATGCAGATCTCCTCGTGGTAGTTTTATGTGGGAGGTAAAGGTTGCCTGGTTGGGAAATGGAACCCGGAAGTGCTTTACAGATTCCATTTCCTGCGGCTGCCAGCTGGGAGCGAACTGCCAGCCAGCTCTGGGAGGGCGTGTCCTGGGATACTGTCCTAGTCTGGATGCCATTCTTGAACTTCCTGAGTTACAGCCGTATTACAGCCACATGAAAATAGAATGTTCTGTGATCCTTGCAGGTTTGGTTACACGAAGTTACTTCTGTCATCTGGAAAGTCATTTTGGAACTATTCCCTTAAAATGGGCAATGCTGCCAGAAGCTAGAGTAGCCGTCAACTCCCTGCCCAACCTTGGTCCTTGGCAAGATCTTTTCTCTCTTCCTTAGTAGACACGATTCCATTGTGTCCATATTAATTTCAAAACAAAATGTTTTCTTAATGATATTTTTTTCCATTCTAAGTATGTTTATCCTAGAGAAGTTTCTTTGAGAGGATGATTGTGCTATAAAGTCACTTGGGCCAGGTAGCAGAGCGCTGGAGTGGATAATTTTCTGATTTTTTTTTTTTTTTTCTTTTTCCCCCTTTATTTTATTTTATTTTTTTTAAAGTTGTAGATTTACAATTTTTTGTGCTTTGGTTTCAATTATACAATGATCAGATACCCATCCCTCCACCAGTGCCCATTTTCCACCACCATGGATAATATCCCTCCCACCCCCATCCCCCCATCCCCCCGTCTCTGTGGCAGGGCAATCCCCTGTGTTCTCTCTCTCCTTTTGGGTGTTGTGGTCTGCAAAAGAGGCATTGAGTGGCAAACATGTTCAGTCCATAGTCTACTTTCGACATGCATCTCCCCTCCTGGGAGGATCCTCCAAACATCCTTTATTTGGTGCTCCCTTCTCTATCTGAATAGCCCTTTCCTCTAGGATACCCGGCTGGCCTCTAAGTTATGGAGTAATCCTCCTGGTGCTGATCTCAGCTATTCTTGGGTATTAATCTCATACTTTGTTACTTTATATCCCCCAGATGAATGCAATCTTTCTATGTCTATCCCTCTCTTTCTGACTCATTTCGCTTAGCATGATACTTTCCATATTGTACCACTTGTATGTAAATTTCATGACTTCATTTTTTCTAAGAGCTACATAGTACTCCATTGTGTAGATGTACCAAAGTTTCTTTAACCAGTCATCTGTTCTTGGGCATTCAGGTTTCTTCCAGTGTCTGGCTATTGTAAAGAGGGCTGCAATGAACAAACAAGTGCAGATGTCACTTCGACTATACATTTTTGCCTCTCTGGGATATATTCCCAGGAGTGGTATTGCTGGGTCAAATGGGAGCTCAATTTCTAATTTTTTGAGAATCGTCCATACTGTTTTCCAGAAGGGCTGAACCAGTCGGCATTCCCACCAACAGTGAAGGAGTGTCCCTTTCTCGCCACAACCACGCCAGCATCGGTTGCTTTTGTTCTTTTGAATGTGGGCCAGTCTCTGAGGTGTGAGATGGTATCTCATTGTGGTTTTGATCTGCATCTCCCTGATGATTAATGATGTAGAGCATTTTCTCATGTGCTTTTTTGCCATTCGGATTTCTTCTTTGAGAAAGTTTCTGTTCATTTCATTGCCCCATTTTTGGATGGGGTTGGATGTTTTCTTCTTGTGGAGTTTAACCAGTATTTTGTATATCCTGGATATCAACCCCTTGTCAGATGTGTATTCGGTGAATATCCTTTCCCATTCTGTAGACTGTCTTTGTATTTTGGTCACTGTTTCTTTGGAGGTGCAGAAGCTTCTTAGTTTAAGATAGTCCCATTTGTCTATCTCTGTTTTCACTTGCTTGGCCAGTGGCGTGGCATCTTTGAAGATACCATTAGCTTCAATGTCATGGAGGGTTTTGCCAACTTTATCTTCAATGTACCTTATGGTTTCTGGTCTGATGTTGAGGTCTTTAATCCATTTTGATCTTACTTTTGTACATGGTGTCAGGCAGAGTTCTGAGCCTTTTTTTTTTTTAATGAGATACACCTGTCTGTGCTTAAGGCTTACTCCTGGCTCTAGGGATCATTCCTGGTTGGCTTGGGGAAACATGTGGTGCGGGGCATCAAATCTGGTTGGGCACATGCAAGGCAAGCATCGTGTGTGCTGTACCATCTCTCAGTGAGCACAGGCCTTGTTTGCAAGAACGCCAGTCTTGGTGCCACATGGTTGGTGGACTGAGAGTAGTCTAGGAGCACTTTAAGTGTGGCCCCCAAACCAAAAGAATTAAAAAATGACTTGGTAATACCTCTGGCATTGATTTCCAGGGAATACTCTAATATAGAAAAAGGCATATGGGGGCTGGAGTGATGGTCCATAGAGTAGGGTGTGTGCCTTGCACACGGCTGGCACAAGTTCGATTCCTTGCATCCCATTTGGTCCATATGGTCCCCCAAGCAACTTCAGGAGTTAGTCCTGAATGCACAGCCAGGAGTGAGTCCTGAGTATTGCAGGGTGTGACCCAAAAAGCCAAAGAAAAGGTGGAGGGCAAGGATGTTTGTAATAGTGGAACATTCTTAAATATTCATTATAAAAAGGCACATGGAGGTCTTGGAATTTTTATGGGTTCTTTGCATTTAAGAAAAATGTCTCAGTTAGGCCCTCAAGCTCGGTTTTATATTAAACTTATTGTTCTGGAATGGATGTCAGAGGGTCCAGAGCTTGAGTCTTCCGATTAATTTTTTTTTTAAATCAAAAATGGATTCTCAGTATTTTTGTGAACTAGAGATATTTTGAGTTTTATTAAGTCCTCCGCTCATTGCTTTTGTCGAGTGTTGTTAACACAAAATTAATTTCAGTTGTTATAAAAGCTAGGGCCAGAAACATTCCCTGCTTTGGCTTAGATGTATCCATCACTCTGGTTCTCAAAACTCGAGGACTTAAATGCAGTGAGAAAGATAAGCTCCGTCATTTCCAATCTAGATGTTGATCAAATAAATGTTCGTGATGTTGATGAAAGAAATCAAGTTTCAAGCTGTGTAGTCCAGTTCAGAGAAATTAGATCCATCAAAGGCCTTTTGAATTTGAAATAGCCTCCCCAGCAAAAAAGAATGATTAAATTGCTTTACTGATCTGATTCACTTTCTTGCCAGGGAGAGCGCACCCACCAACGGGGCATGCAGATGAGGGCGGTGCCGGAATCTCTGCCAAGTCGACTTTGACCAGCCCCCTCTGGGCCAACTCGAACCGAAGTGGCTTGAAAGCCTTGTTGGCCGAGCAGTGCACATTCTAGGAAAATCTGAGCCTTTGATATAGTGTATTACTCTGACTTAATGCTCATGGCTCTTACCAAGGACTTCAGCAACTTAAATGACAGGAGTGTGAGAATTAGATGCAGAGGGTCCAGAGAAAGAGAGAATACAGTGGTTAGGGCGCTTACCTGGCTACCTTGCACACGGCTAAAGCAGATTCGATCCCCAGCATCTCATATGGTCCCCCAGCACTGCCAGGAGTAATTACTGAGTGAAAGCGAAGAGTAAGTCCTGAGCTCCACTGGGTGTGACCGCCCCTCCCCTCCCCCTCCCCCCCCCCCCCCCCAAACTGTATCACTGAATCACTGTCATCCCATTGATTGTTGGGTTTTCTCCTCCACCTCTGCTGGTGCCCCCAGTTTTCCCTTGGGATGGTGATACTGGGTGCCATGCTTCATGCTCAGGTTTTCTGCTATACACCTGTGTCCCCAGGTGTACTCAGCCTCTGTGAAACTGGCTTGTCCTCCTGCTTGGTGAGGAGGTACCCGGAGGACCCCCTCCCCACCCCGTAGAATTTGTTTTATTCATGCTACTGTCATGTAGCTGGTGGCTTGCACCGGAAACCTAGAAGTGATCCCCTCGGGGTTTTTGTTTGTTTTAGAGCCACACCTGGTAGTGCTCAGGGCTTATTCCTGGGTGGTACTCAGGAATCACTCCTGGCAGGGCTGGGGGACCCTGTGGGATGCTGGGGATCAAACCCGTGTTGGCCACATTTAAGGAAAGCCCCTTACCCACTCTTTTATCTCTCTGGCCCCAAATAATTAAGAAAAAAAAATTTTTTTTTCTAGGACTAAGGCAGAACTTATATAATGAGGGCTCAGAGTGATAGTACAGCGGGTAGGGCATTTGCCTTGCCCGCAGCTGACTCGGGTTTGATCCCCGGCATCCCATATGGTCCCCCAAGCACCGCCAGGAGTAATTCTGGAGTGCAGAGCCACGAGTAACCCCTGAGCATTGCTGGGTGTGACCCAAAAAGCAAAAAAAGAAAATATATAATGACCTTATTATGACCTCACTTGCAATTGGTTTAGAAATTGCTACCACAAGAAGGTTAAAAACGGATTGCCTACAAAATGAATTTCACTCATTTAGTTCTGGAACTCCTAAGAACTAAATTTCATTACTGAGAACAAGATTCCAGTAGATGGCATAATAAGACTATTTTTATCTGGCCTTCTTACCGTTCCTTTTAAAATTAAAATTTGTCTCTTTCTGATTGCTGGAGTTTATAAGAATGATTACATCGCTATAGAATCATCCTATGGATGGATTGAGTGGTCAGATAAGCCTATTTAACACGTCTCTAGAGTTTTGGAGTCTATTATTTTTTCCAGCTAGTCAGCTAAACCACTGTAGTGAACTCTCACCCTCCCTCTCTCATTCTTTCATTCATTTATAAATATTCTTAGGGAAAACCTCGTATGTCCAAGCACGAGGCTCGTGTCTGCTGAGTCTTGGTAAAACAAGACAGATATGGATTGATTTCTTCTCAGGCATTCTTTTAATTTTACATAACTCTGAGTGTTAGAATAGGAAATGAGAGATGTATACTCTCGTGGCTTAGAGCTGGGTCAAGAAAAATTCTTCCGGGGCTAGAGCGATAGTAACAGTGGGGAGGGCACTTGCCTTGCTTGCGGCTGACCTGGGTTCGATCCCCAGCATCCCATATGGTCCCCCAAGCATTGCCAGGAGCGATTCCTGAGTGCAGAGCCAGGAGTAACCCCTGAGCATCGCCAGGTGTGGCCCCAAAACCAAAAAAAAAAAAAAAAACCCTTTTTCCTTCCCTTTCTCTTTCTCTTTCTCCCTACCTGGCAGTGCCTAGAGCTTACTCCTGGCTTGGTGCTCAGAGGACTCTCTGCAGTGCCAGGGATCTAACTGGGGTCGGCCACATGCAAGGCAAGAGCCTTAACGTTTTTCTCCCCAGCTTAACATTATTTAAACACTGTGATTTGTGGTATTGTTTATAATACAGTCGTTTCCAGGTACCAGTTCTGCCACTAGTGTGACTGAGTGTCCTCCACAAGTGTCCCCAATTTTCTACCCACGCCTGCCCCCCTCCCAGGCACAACATAGTTTACTTTGTATTGGTTGTTACAACACATGCAGAATCCAAAGTACCTGCATCAATAATTCCCTTTGTGTGGGGCCTGTTGCAGGGATGAGCAGGGTGGCATGCATTTGCGGGCTCTCTGAGGTGGCACACGCATGCTGGCTCTCTGAGGTGGCACATTCGTGCCGGAAGAGCCTTAACGTTTGTCCTGTCTCTTAAGCGCCCAGAGCAGCCCCCGGCCTCCAATCCCTGTCTGTCTACCTGTTGCTGTCTATAGGGTCCCTCAATGTCTCTTTCTTTTCCTTTTTTTTTTTTTCTGTCTTTTTTCTTTTTTTTTGTTTTTTTGGGCCCACTCGTAGCAGTGCTCAGGGGGTTACTCCTGGCTCTGCACTCAGGAATTAGCCCTGGTGCTGCTTGGGGGAATCCTATGGGATTCCGGGGATCGAACCCAGGTCGCCCGTGTCCAGAGCAAATGCCCGACCTGCTGTATTGTCGCTCCGGCCCTCTTCCTTCCTTTTTCTGACAAAGAGGCCTGCTGGTGCATCTCACAGAGAAGGCTACGTCAGGGACTATATGTGAAGCACGGGAATAGTCCCTGGGTCAATACATGTTTGTTAGTGATGATGGCTTTTTTTTTTTAAAATTTGTGATTCCTGGGTATTTGGGATATTTCTTTTCATTTTGCGTTTGGTGGGGGTGTTGGGGGGCCCTACTCAGTGGTACTTGGGGGCTGCTCCCAGTTCTTGCTCTCTTGGTCGCTTGCTGTGGCCCTCAGGGAACTCTGCCGTACTGGAGATGGGAGCACAAGTGGCCACGCTGCGGGCAAGCCCCTTCCCCTCCCAACCCTCCAACCTCCCCCCCCCCTCCCTGTGCCGTCTCTCCGCCTTCCAGTTAGCACCATGGCTTGTGGCACTGGAGCTAGAGGGGCCGGTGAGATGCATGCACCCAGTGGCAACCCGCTGCCCCTCGGAGATCCTGGTGGATTAAAAAAAAAAAAAAATCCAAGACCAGGGCTGGAGCAGTAGCACAGCGGGTAGGACCGATCCAGGTTCCATCCCTGGCATCCCATGTAGTTTCTGACCCCTGCCAGGAGTGATCCCTGAGCGCAGAGCCAGAAGTAAGCCCTGAGCACCACCGGATATAGCCTATGAAAATAAGTAAATAAAAATCTAAGACCACTTCAGTTTTCTTGTGGTCTTAGTAATTCTTTATTTTTTCTTTTATTTATTTATTGTTATTTTAAATGTTAAATCACTTTTATTTATTTATTTATTTTTTGGGGTGGGGGGGGTCACACCCAGCAATGTTCAGGGGTTACTCCTGGCTCTGCACTCAGGAATTGACTCTGGCAGTGCTTGGGGGACTATATGGGATGCTGGAGATTGAACCTGCGTCGGCCGTGTGCAAGGCAGACTCCCTACCCGCTGTACTGTCACTCAGGCCCTGGTTTTAGTAATTCTTTAGAAGTCGTGTGTTCTGCTGTGGTGGGCGCTTGCTGTGTTTGTGCTGCCTCTGCTGGTACCGTCTCTGAAGCGCCTCCAGTAAGCAGGTTCCTGCTGGCTGGGCTGGCGAGTACTTGCCCTTCAAATTCAGCAGTGGGGGAGAGCTGGAGAGATAGCACAGCAGGTAAGGCGCTTGCCTTGCCCACTGCCCACCCGGATTTTGATCCCAAGCATCCCAGATTGGTCCCTCCAGCACCGCCAGGTGAGATTCCCTGAGCACAGAGCCAGGAGTAAGTAAGCCCCGAGCACCGCTGAGTGCGGCGACCACCAAACCAAACAGAACTCCCTCCCGCTGTGTGGTCAGGTTTGCAGATGCCGTTTCCTTAGCCTGCTTTGGCTCAGGGGAGGTTCAGGTAGGGCGGCCACAGGGGCGCGTGGTGTCCTGAGCCCATTATTAAGCACAGCTCTCCGTAGAGCTGAACCTTTCCCAATTCTTCCCCTTGCAGATCCCGCTGTGTAAAGTCATCCGATTCAACATAGATTACACGATTCACTTCATTGAAGAGATGATGCCTGAGGTACGTCGGGTAAAGATCTGTCTGTCTCGTCTGCTGGGGTTTGCGCTTCTGTTGGCTTGCGCGGTTACTAGAGTGAAAGCGTTGGCCGGCTCAGTCTGGGGGACACCGCTGAAGGATTGTGTTCGGTATTGAAAGGGCTGAGGGAGCCAGAACTCTGGTGACAGGGTTAACCTTGGGGTCATTTTTCAATGTAGTGACCTAATTTTGAACCCGTTTCTCCTCACACTGCCTCCCTTGAGTTTACATCTGTTTCTGGTTTCCTTGGGAGAGGGGGCAGCATTCGGTGATGGGTCGTTATCAGCGAGGAAATGAGAGTCGTGAAGCCGAATCAGATAGCTGTGGGAATAATCTTATTCATTATCTCCCCTGACAAGATCAATGCTGGCTTCATTTTTCTTTCCCATATATTTACATATTTTTTTTTCTCTCCCCCTAATTGTTTTTCATTGCGGATGCTCAGCTGCGGATTTATCTAAATATATGCAAGAAGTTAAAAAATTCCAAAGCAAGATTAATGGGAATCTCAGAATGATTCATTGCCCGATCTTGAATTTAGCGGTGTCAACAAATCACACCAAGACACAACAACCAGACAGCAAACAAGCGTGTGCACTCGACATTGTGTGGGAGTCGGGGTCGATTTCCCGAGCCCCGTGGCTCTCACAGGCCGTGTCGAACAACACAGCGCTGCTGGGACCGGGGGAGCACCTGAGGGAGGATTGATGAGCAGGACGCGTGCCTGGTCCGCACCTATTTCATCCCCAACTGGCCCTGTTATTCCCACCTGTCTGTCAGAGGCTAAATTCAAGACAAAGGGCCCACCCTTCCGTTCGCCTGCCTCGGAGGACTTCCCCCCCCCCCCCCCCCCCGCCCCCCGGTTACTTTTGATTTTTTATTTTAAGATCATAAGCCTGCATTTACTATGATAAAAGTTTATGACTTCTGGCGTGATCTCACACAGGGTGATTTATGAACCCCAAGCAAAGCAAGTAGGGAGAAGAATTATGAGACTATCCACACTTGCAAATATATCATCTGTTAAGCTTGTTTACAGGAACAATTTTGGGGCCCAGTTTTTGTAGTTTTTCCAGCCCTTTATTTATTCACCTTCATTAAAGATTTGGATTTTTTTTGGACGGTGGGGAGTGGCAGGGTCTGACTTTTTTTTTTTTTTTTTTTGCCATGCCCAGGGCGTCCTCCTGGTGCTCAGGGCTTAGTCCTGGCTCTGCACTCAGGGATCACTCCTGGTGGTGCTCAGGGGATCACATATGGTGCTGGGAATCGAACTCAGGTTAGCTGTGTGCAAGGCAGGTGCCCTACCCAATGTATTATCCAGCCCATTTAAAATTTTTTAAAAAAAACATTAATTTAATTTATTTTTCTTTCTCTCTTTATGAGACTTCTGTGATAGTGATTCTGGGTGTATTTGAGGTAGGAGTGAAAAAATGGGCCAGGACAGACATCCCTGTGTGTGTGCCAGCATTTAATTTGAATTTAATTTGAATTAACAAAAAATTCTCCAGGACACTCTGAGCCATTTCTTCATTGGGATATAGCATTTGACTTAGGAAGTTTTCATTTTTGAATTTTAGGCCATTTTTATTTGTATGTTGGGAAGGGCCGAGCTGACTATTTCTTAGGAATTGTATTGGCATGCTTATTTACTTCACTTCTGTCTCCACTAGTGAGGCACTGTTGGAGGAGAGATGCCACTTTTAATTCTCTTTAGGCTGTATTACATGGTGTCAGTAGACACTTGAAGACATTTGAGTACAGCAGTTGGAGCTTCAGTAATTATTTGTTGGTGGAATTGTAGTAATTTCATTTTGGTTTCTTATTTTCAGAATTTCTGTGTGAAAGGACTTGAACTCTTTTCATTATTCCTATTCAGAGATATTTTGGAATTGTATGACTGGAATCTTAAAGGTAAATCCTAGGGTTTAAAGAAAATGTAATGGTTGTAGAAGAATATTATAGCACGTGAATACAAATTTACACGTGTTGGGGGAAATGTAGTTGACATTTCTCTTGTTTTTGAGATCCCCTGGGATAATATGCATAGATTGTAGAAGTGCATACTGTCATTTTACATGGTGAGTCTTATTTGTAACTCTTACCTCAGAACAATTTAATGGTATCACTGCCTGGTATTATCATTCTCTATTACCTGATCCTTAAAAAAGATGATATCTATTACTTTGGGTGATTATCTTGATTTATGTGCATTAGGGAAAATCTCATTTGTTAATATTTGAAATCTATTGAACTTTATTATAGTAAACTTCATCCACAATCATATTCTATTACAAGAAAACTTCTTTTAGCCCTTAAAACACACACGCACACACCATGGAGATTCAAGGCCAGATACTTGGTTCTTGGATAATGTTGTTCATTCTTTTGGAAGTATCTGTAATTCAGTGAATGTTTACTCTTTTAGTTTTTAATTTTTGGCTTTCTGGGTCACACCAGGCGATGCTCAAAGTTTTCTCTTGGCTCTGCACTCAGGAATTACTTCTGGCGGTGCTTGGGGGACCATATGGGAACTGTGTGCAAGGCGAACACCCTACCCGCTATGCTATCGCTCTAGCCCTGAATATTTACTATTTCTTTTTAAATTGATGAGTGATTTATAATTTTTAGACCCGGTTGTAACTATACATACATCTGAATTTTCCTCAGTTGTATTGATAAGGTGAAGTAAAAACACAAGCATAGTACATCATGAAATATTGGCGGTTTTGAAATTTTATTTATTTTTTTGTGTGTGGGGCCAGAGGCTTACTCCTGGCTCTGCACTCACGGATCCCTCCGGCGGGTCTTGGGGAACCCTTTGTGGTGCCAGGGATCAAACATGGGTCTAGCTCCGTGAAAGGCAAGTGCCCAGCCGCTGTCCCGTCACTTCCGCCTCCCTTTGGAAATTCTAAAAGTCGGCCGACCTTAACGTAGTTTTGTTCTTTGGAGCTTCTAGTTGCTTCTTGACTTTGGGTGCCATCCCTGCAGTCTTCGTCCATGCCCTTCTGGGCTGTATTTTCCCCAGCGCTCAGCCACAAAGCTCAGGAAGGAGAGTTGCAGCCTCTATTGTGTGGCCTGTCGTGTTGATCTCTCTCTTTCCTTGTCGCCTGCCCGCTGTAGGTCCTTTGTTTGAAGACAGCCCTCCCTGCTGCCCGAGATTTCATTTCATGCCACGCTTCGTGCGGTTCCTCCCAGGTAACTCTTGGGGCTCGTCAGCGACGCGGTGAGAGGGGGTGTCTAGAAATCAGGCCATCTCTGGGGACAGCCTGCTGGCCGCGGACACTGCTCACTCCGGCTCACCTCTTGGGCAGAGCAGGGGAACTCAGGCACACGAGTTTATAGCCCCCGTGTAACTGGTGGGACCCCTATATTACCTGCGCCCTGCACGAAGTGACTCAGTAGAGTTTGAAAGTCAACCCGATAAAATATTACGCAGGTGCTCAGGAGAGTACTGAGAATTGGATGTGGTTTGGAAAAGGCATGGTTGATTGGAAAACAACGAAAGGCCCTTCCCTGTGTATAATCACAACTGTGAAAAAATATGCAGTTATGGTTTTATTAAAATGGTATCAGAAAAGTGGGAGGTTTTCTTTTTTCCCCTATTTTTCCCCCTTGTTTTCACAGGAGCCTGCGTAGCAGTGCTCAGAAGCCCCTGCGGCTCCATCTGGAGTGGGGTGGGGTGAGGAGGAGGACGTGTAGTGCTGGGATGAAGGTCTGGGCAGGAATTCAATCCTCTGTTCCATCACTTTCGTGATCTCTCTGGTCCCTATTTTTTTAACACCTATTTTTATTCATTGTTTAGTTTTCAAAGTTTGCTATTCAAAAAGCATTAGTACATTTATGACAGGATTTTTTTTTTTTTTTTTTTTTTTTTTGCTTTTTGGGTCACACCCGGTGATGTTCAAGTCTGACTCCTGACTCAAGAATTACTCCCTGGCAGTGCTCAGAGAACCCTATGGGATGCTGATGATCAAACCTTGGACAAAACGCATGCCAGGCAAACACCCTCCCTGCTGGACTATCGCTCCAGCCCCAGGATTATTTTTTTTAAAGCTGTGTTTTTTTTAAAAAATATTTTTCAAGAGTTGAGCTGTGAGCTTCGTCATTATATGTAGTGTTTTTAAAAAAAAAAAAGTTTTTGGTGGAAAAGTAGTATGTCAGAGAGAGCACTGGTCTTGCATGTGGCTGATACAGGTTCGATCCCCAGATCCCCTGATGCACCCTGAGCACCGCTAAGATTGATCCCTGAGCACAGAGCCAGGAGTAAGCCCTGAGCACTGCGGGGTGTGGCCTTCCTTCAAAAAGATGGTATTAAAACTGGGTGTCTATTTATGTTTGCTTTTGTTTGGGAGGTGGTGGGGTCTCCAGATGGTGCTCCAGATGGGGATATCACCGCGGCAGCCTTGGTCAATTGGGCTGTGGTCTTTATGCCAGGGCTTGAGGTTGCTGTGTGGGGGATACCCTGGTGGTGTTTGTGGGCCCCCAGGGCTGCACCTCATGTCCTCTGAACCTTGCTGTGCCGTGAATCTACCCCTCGCCTCCCCTGGCTTTGGGGAGATCTGGCCCCAGGGTCTCAGGTTCAAATCCACATCTCCAGCCCTAATGGTTGGATTGTTTGTGTCTTTCGGGACCACACCTGCTGGTGCTCAGGGGTCGCTCGTGGTGGTGCTTGGGGGACCATATGGGATGCCGGGGATCGAACCCTGGTCTGCTGCCGTGTAGGGCAGGTGCCCTACACTCCGCACTGGCACTCTGGCCGTGGTGGTTAGATTGTTAATGAACTTGTTGGGCGCTGTATTTTGCCTGCAAGTCTTGGGGCTCTCCAGGAATTCCTTCCTGGGTGTCACCCCGATGTCACTGTTCAGGGACCTGCTGCTGTCCCCTAGCCTCTGACACCCTGAGCTGGATGATGTCTCACCTGCGGATCTCTCTTCCCGCCCCGGCACTGACTGCCACTTGGCAGGACCGTGTCATCAGTTCAGGCCTGAGCCACTCCGTGACAGGGCAGAAAGCAAGTGGGCCTTGGCAATGGCCTGGGACCTGTCCCAGGGACTCAGGGCTTTCCCTGAACGTCTGCCCGGCCACCCCCATGCCTCAGAACCCTCCATGGAACGTGTCACAGTTTGCTCCACAGACAGACTGACTTTACTCTGGGGGTCTTGTTCCCTCTCGCCCCGTCCCCTCAGGTCAGAGCCTCCTGCTGAGAGACCAGATCCAGGGGCGGCCCTGCAGGACCGGTCTTCACTCCCTGCTCGTGCCAGTGCTCTTGACCGTGACCTTGACTGGGCCTGTCACCATCACCTGGACTGGGCCTGTGTGCCGTCTTTTTTTCCTACCCTGCTTCCTTTTTTCTTTTTTTTAAAAATTTTATTTTATAAGGTAGTTCACAATATTTGATTACATTTAATATTCAGACACCAATCCCACCACCATTACAACCTTCCCACCACCAAATTTGGGATGTTTTCATCTCAAGCCCCAATCCCTGTCTCAAAGCACAACCAAAATAATATATTTTGTATTGTTTGTTGGACTGGAGCTATAGCATAGTGGGTAGGGCATTTGCCTTGCACACAGCTGACCCGGGTTTGATTCCTCCATCCCTCTCAGAGAGCCCGGCAAGCTACCGAGAGTATCCGCCCGCATGGCAGAGCCTGGCAAGCTCCCCGTGGCGTATTCGATATGCCAAAAACAGTAACAAGAAGTCTCACAATGGAGACGTTACTGGTGCCCGCTGGAGCAAATCGATGAACAACGGGAGGACAGTGCTACATTATTTGTTATGAAGAACTGCTGAAAATGCTTACCAAACAATGTTCATATAGGAAGCAGTGTGAAGATTGTTCTATTTTGACAGGGGCCATTAAGACATTTTTTAGGATATCACTAACTTGATGTTAAAGGTTGGATGATGTGAGCTTTGGTATGTATATCTAAAAATATCTATATAAAGGTAAAGGTAAAGGCCCTCCCGTTGATCGTCGATTTGCTCGAGCGGGCCCAGTAACGTCTCCATTGGAGACTTGGTTGTTACTGTGTTTGGCATATCGAATACTCTCGGTAGCTTGCTGGGCTCTCCGAAAAAAAAAAATATCTTATATATGCATATATATAGATATTTCCCTCTATGATTTGTTGCCTACTGTCTGAACCCCATCAAATGTGATATGGTAATCCTGGAGAATGGGTAGGGAGTGTCTTATGATGTGTCACTTGAGGACCCGCCATCCAAAAATATGTTCACTCATGCGTAAGACTCAGCCCGAGCATAAGGAAGTGGCCTTGGGCGTGGCGGCGGTTGGGTTCTAGAGGTTTTTGGCTACTGGGGCTGGGTCCCTTGGGATGGGGGGGGTCTCACCCGCCCCCCCACCCCACCCCACCCCCGGGGCGCCCTGAGTGAATCAGCCTGGCGCTGAGTCCGGTGGCATGGCTATGTCCTGCCCTGCTTTTTTCCCATGGCTACTTGACCTCTGCTGCCTCCTGTAGATTGTCCCCACAGTCTGTCCCTGATCCTTGTTCCTCAGGCCACCCGGTTACTGGGGTTTTTGTCCTTGTCAGCCTTGGGTCACTTGTGTCTTAGATTATATCATTGTTAATACAGGCTCCTGTTTGGAAATGCCTCCCACCGCTTTCCCCCTTGATCTGCCCGGTGTTTCCTGTCCTATGGAGGCTCTTGCCTCTTCCCACTGAGTGCACCTTTAGCTGGACCCTGGGGCCAGAGCAGCTGCCTGGGAGGCAGAGGCAGGAGAGTGAGTCTGCGAAGGAAGCCGGACTAGCCCTCTCTGCTCGAGGCATCTTTGAGCTGGGTTCGATTCCTCCGCCCCTCTTGGAGAGCCCAGCAAGCTACCAAGAGTATCTTACCTGCATGGAGAAGCTTGGCAAGCTACCCGTGACGTATTTTATTTTATTTTTTTATTGAATAACATGAGAACAGTTACAAAGCTTCCAGGTTTAACTCTCGGTCATACAGTGATCAAACACCCATCTCTTCACCAGTGCACAGGTTCCACCACCAAGAACCCCAGTGAACCCATTCCCCCTGCCTGTGTGGCAGAAGATTTTCATTTTCTTTCTTCACTTTGATTACATTCAGTTTTCCAACAGAAGACCCACTATTATTATTTGGAATTTCCCCCCAACAGTCAGACCTGCCGAAAAGGCATCATTAGATAATTTGTTTTCTATTTCTGATAATGAAGAACATTTGATGTTGTGTGGCCGCAATAGCAGCCTTGTGATTTTGGATTTCTGGTATTTCAGCAATTAAGTCCAGAGGGATTTCTGCCAGAAACCACTGGGTTCCAAGATTGGTTTGTGTGCCTCTGGGATCATAGCCATTTGGGAGTGGAAGAGCCGTTCGTGGGCAGTGACTCGGGGTCTTGTCCAGGTGTGGGGAAGGGCTGATTCCGCCTCCCCTCCAGAGAGGTCCCCCTTCCCCTGGGGCAGCACAGGGCCATAGCTTAGTTCACAGTCTAGAAGCATTTCTGTCAAAAGTCGCTGGGTTCCGAGATTTGTTTGTGTGCCTCTGGGATCATGGCCATTCAGGAGCGGAGGACCCGAGGCATCTTTATACCAAACAGATCTCTTAAGGTAAAGTAGACCATTCTTCAGATCACCTTAAAGGAAAATCTTGTGTCAGATATTTACTTTGTGGGATTTCAATGCTGACAAAATGTTTCTCAGAAGCATATAGGAATAACATTTAGGTGGGTTTTGGAAAGAAAAGGATCTGTGTTTTTTTTTTTTAAGTGGATTTACTTTTTCATTAGATTTCCCCTTGAAAAAGATGAACGTTAAAAACAAATCCTTATCGATACAGAGAAATATCTGTATATAGAGAGAAATGCATTTTGGTATAGGGTGAAAAGTGATGGTTGAGTTCTTTTCACAGTGTGACTTTCATAAAGATCTTTTAGAAATAGACGAAGTAGAAAGATAAAGCAGATAATTAGATTAGAATTTGAGAGAGACAATGAGTACAGGGGTTAATCCTTTAACACGGGTTCCATACCTGTCACTGCATCCCTGATCCCCCAAGTACCATGGACAGTAATTGTACAGAGTCAGGGTAGTGTCTGGGCTGCATTAGGGGTGGCAGAACTAGCACCCCACAAAGGAAGGAGGGAAGTGAAGGAGGAAAGGAGGGAGCGAGGGAGGAAGGAAGGAAGGAAGGAAGGAAGGAAGGAAGGAAGGAA